ACCCTAAAACAGAGGGATGACATGGTAGACACTGTCCAGCTGGGCTGGGGCTGGGCTGGAGAGGGACTGGGGACACAGCCATTCTCTGTCCCTCACATGTCACTCCACACGGGTGACCCTCTGCTGAGCCTGGCCTTGGAATCTAGAACATTGTCTCCAACCTAAAAGCAGTTTTGTGCCTAAAGCAGCTGGTTTCCAGAGGCGTCCTGCACAGAAGGGTACCCATCACCACCTCTCTCACCCCTGAGGGTGGCAGTGAGCTGTGTCCCTCGGGGGTTGGGAGGGGAGGTGTCCAGCCCCTCCTATTTGCCCAGTGTCGCCAGGGCCTGGAGATGCCCAACTTGGCCCCTTCACCCCTCAGGATGGTGGGGCCGGGTGGGACAAGAAGCCGGGTGCCTAAGTGCAGCCCTCCGTCTGGTGTGGCTGCGTGGTCCCCCTGCCCCGTCCTAACTGAGGTGGCCGCCGCAGTGGCGCCGTGACCGTGGGGAGAGATTTTCTGCTTGGGAGCGCCGGGTGTTTATGGCCTGCTGGGAGCACAGCGACCTGGTTTTCTCCTCCGGATGGCGGCTGCAGACCAAGGGCGGGCGTTTCTGCCTCCTCCGGTTTATGGCGGTAATAATAATTATTGCGACAGCATGTCGTGCTTACATTGTGCCTTTTTAATAAGGCCACTTTGTTTGGCTTCTTAATATTTAATCCTGTTTTATATTTACTTTCTGATGGCTTAGAATCAGCCAGGTCTTAACTGCTTCTGGGGAGGCGGCCCTGTGGGGCCCGGGCACTCAGGACGCTGCCGAGGAGGCTCTGGGGGCGGCATGACCTTCCACCCAGACAGGCCCTGAAGCTGGCACCACTTACCTTCTCTCTCCCCAACTCTTCGCTCTTTTGTCTGCAATCTGCTTTTCCTCTCCTGCCCCGTCTCTTTCTCTGCCTTGGAAGAGACTGTCAGCTCGGTCTGGTCGATTTATTCCTATAAGAGACGAAGACCATGAGCCCCAGGTTATCATGTAACCTAGTTGGAATGGTCCCATGGCCTGGCCAAGGCTAGGGTAGCACTGGCAATTTCTAGACCCACAGTGCAATGCCAGGGAGGCTCCCAGGAGCCTGAGCTGGGCAGAGACTGGGAGGAGGCTCCTATACCCCACAGCCTCTGGCCATGAGTGGCCATAGGTTGGACCTCCCCAGCTACAGAGAAGAAGTGAGGACTAACTCTTGAGTTACTTTTCCTGTAGGAGGAAAGGAAACCAAATGAAATGTGATGTGGTTCCCCCCACCCCAAGAGGGTCCTGGGGCAGTAACCCCACCCAGGATGTCCGTCCTGTTCTGCCCGGGGCTCAAACCATGCCCCCAGTGATGCCCTGGCTCCCTGGTGCCTCCCAGGAAGTCAGCCTGCAGGGTTACCAGAGTTCAGCTGCCCTGGATGCTACCTGACAGAGCCAGGAAGGCCCTGGACTCAGGCCAGTGTCCCCTGTTCCACCCACTCTCACCTGGACAGCAAATCTCCCCCATCAGTGGGTTCACACTGCTCACCCGGCCCGCGCCCAGAGGCATATGGGTCAGGTCCTGACAGCAAATGGATTTGACAACTGGGTAGTTTAAGAGGAGGCTCACAAAGATGCAGGCACCAGGGGTGACAGCCCCAAACGGCATCTGCTGGCACTGTCCTTCAGGCTATCTGCAAAGGTCAGCCTCCCGGATCCCAGGTGGAGGAGCAGCTGAAGGACAGACCCCAAGACACCAGCCCAAGGGAGCAGCCCTGAAACCCCCAAAAATACCAAATGCCTGCTGTAAATGCACAACCAGTACCATTAGGACCTGAAAAAGAATCCATGTATACGTGCTAAGTCACTTAAGTCATGTTCACCTCTGTATGGCCCTATAGACTGTAGCCCACCAGACTCCTCTCTCCATGGGATTCTCCAGACAAGAATACTGGAGTGGGTTGCCATGCCTTCCTCCAGGGGGTCTCCCCAACCCAGGGATCAAACCCGCGTCTCTTACATCTCCTACATTGGAGGCAGGTTCTTTACTACTATCACCTGGGAAGTCCCTTACTCCCTTGCCCTTGTTCAGTTCAGTTCACTCACTCAGTCATATCTGACTCTTTGTGACCCCATGGACTGCAGCACACCAGGCTTCCCTGTCCATCACCAACTCCCAGAGCTTGCTCAAACTCGTGTCCATCGAGTTGGTGATGCCATCTAACCATCTCATCCTCTGTCATCCCCTTCTCCTCCTGCCTTCAATCTTTCCCAGCATCAGAGTCTTTTCCAATGAGTCAGTTCTTCACATCAGGTGGCCAAAGTACTAGAGCTTCAGCTTCAGCATCAGTCCTTCAAATGAACATTCAGGACTGATTTCCTTTAGGATTGACTAGTTTGATCTCCTTGTTATATCCATTCATTTATTTTTTAAATCCCATATATAAGTGCTAACATATAGTATTTGTCTTTCTCTGACTTATTTCACCAAGCCTAATGTCCTCCAGGTCCATCAAAGTTGTTTTTAGCTTTGTATTGTGAAAATAAGTCTATTTGGGGTGGACTCCTTTACATATGTTGAAAAGAATCCTGATCCATTTCTTCTCATGATCTAGTCTTCAGGATTCCCACTAACAAGCAGAGATGAGGTTGTCCTGCCTGGGAAGCCCTCTCCTCAAAGTCACCCCCATCTGCAGACAACACTTCTGTGGGAGTCCTTCCTTCTCCCCAGGATCCGTGGCCCTATGTCATAAGTTCATGTGATCTGGGGTTTGAGTCCTGTTTTGTTAAGTGTTCTTACATGTTTTGGTTTATTGCTTTTTACCGTTTCTTCAGTTTTGTTTTCTGAAGTGAGCCCGACGTCCCTTGTGGATGCCGAGTCCTATTTCTTTCTTTCCCCATAGCTAACCTGAGCTCTGCCCATGTCTTATTCCTGATTTTTGACTCTGATGTCTTATCTGTGAAAGGAGGCACCTGGTGTGTCTGCTTGATCAGAAGGAAGGAGAGTTTCTTGGTTGCTTGGTCTAATCGCCCCCAGAAACCCATGGTGACGTCCCCCACACCACATGCACGTAAACATGTGCTGGTGCCCACAGGGCAGGGTGTGTGTGTGTGTGCGTGTTTGTGTGTGGTGTGTGTGTGTGTGTGTGCATGTGCATGTGCATGTGCATGCAAAGGGAGGGTGGCCTGTCCCACCCAAATCCACCACCTTGCTGTCCCTTCCAGCCTGTAAAGTCAGTGAACATGACAAGTGCAGCGGCTGAGCCCTGAGAGGGCCTTTCCTTTGAAGATCACTGGCCAAGGTTAAGGTCACTCTCAGTGCAGCTGTAGACAGTGAGATCCAGCATCACCGGGTGACTGCACCCCACACTCTGTGATGCCCCAGAGCCCGCCCGGCTGTCGGAATCCCATCTCGTCTGGTGTGTAGCCCGGGGGCCATCAAGCTGAGCACAGCGCGGTGGCCAAGACCCCTGTGCTCCAGTCCAAGCCCCCAACCATTGTGTGAGTCAGCACCTGGCCCTGCCCTGGGCCTCACCTCCCTGTCCTGTGACGAGAAGACTGGGCGACTCCCTTGCAATGACGTCTCGATTTGTTTACACCCGAGTTTGTGGAAAAGGACTCAAGGGTGGATACAGGACAGTCAGGCTTATAGAGTCGCAGGCTTTCAGGTTGTGTCTTCACGTTCTGGGAATGAGTCTCTCTCACCTGCCCTTGACTTCATTCAAAAGGAAAGAAACTAAGGAAAAGCCACATCCAGCAACATCCCCCACCCAACCAGGAGACTTATCCGGATGACGTGCTCCGTTCTGGCGGCAGACCCCCCCAGTACTGGTCCCTGTTCCACATCCCCAGATGTCCCACCCCCACCAGCGCAGGTTCTGTGGCCACTGGGGCTCCTGACCTGCCCCGGATGAGGGTGCCACGCTGCAAACAGAGCTGAGCCAGGACCATGGATGTGGTGGCCATGCTAGAGAACAAGGACGGGAAAGATAAGGACATTGTGTGGCATGTTAGAAGGGTCAGAGAAGCTGGAAAAGAAGGAGAAGAATTCTTTGGGGATATACTTTTATTTGGAATAAAAAATAGTAATAGAAGAAAGAGGATGAGATGGTTGGATGGCATCACTGATTCCATGGACATGAGTTAGGGCAAACTCCTGGAGACAGTGAAGGACAGGGAAGCCTGGTGTGTTGCAGTCCACGGGAACACAAAGAATCGGACACGACTGAACGACTGAACAACAGTAAAAGGAGTCTCTTTTTCTAAGCCGCTGACCTGGACTCCAAGCTAGAAGATTCCAGTCGCCCTGGAAATCCAGCCCCACCACCTCGGGGGAAACTGGAGACAATTGGGTGGGTCGGCCATCATGGAGTCGGATGGACTGTGTCCCAGGCCGGCCTGCCGAGATACTGTGGGGAGGTGGTATCCCTACGTGTGTCTTCAGGCTATGTCTCACTGTCATTTGGTGGGTCTGGCATGAAGGCTTCTCATTCCCACGGCTGCAGGGCTGAACTGAGTCCTGAATGTGGCACTGGACGCAGCTACTCCCTACGAGTTGTTTCAGGCTCCGTCCTGGATGGAATCAACCCAGTGAGCAGGACTCAGGCCGAGGGGCAGACCCTCCTCTGATCCATCGAGCAGCCCACACCCTTGTCAAAGACATCCTTTCTACAGACAGGCTGGACCCTAAGCGTGGGGACGAAGCCCCTTAGAATAGGGGGCTGGAAAGAAATAAGAAAAATAAAATATTGTCGTGAAAGCTCTTCTTTTTAACTGGAAGAATGGATGCCAAAGGGAAAGTGGGAGCAGCTTGTCCAAGCGCATGGGGTTGATGGTAGAGGAGGGACTGAGTCGGGGAGGGAGTTAGCGTCCCCCTTAGAGTGTCCTGGGTGGCGAGGGTCACCATAGACAGGCAGCAGGTGTGTGAGTCAGGACCGCAGACAGCCAGGCACTGCCAGGGCTCCCGTCCTGGCTGGGCTGCAGACTAACCCCTCTCTCCTTCCCTCCACGACCCTGCAGTGAGCATGCCCACCAGTGAGACCGAGTCTGTCAACACCGAAAACGTGGCTGGAGGGGACATCGAGGGAGAGAGCTGCGGGGCCAGGCTGGCGTGAGTAGTCTTGGGAGTGGGGCCCGTGGTCCCGGGAGTGGGTGAGCACGGCCCTGGCTGAGGGCTGCTAGGCACGTCCCAGGAGTTGGACTTTGGATTTTGAGCCCCTTTCCATCCCATCAGGGAAACAGAGTGTGTATCTCTTTGGGGGTGGGGGCTACATGTGTTGAGGGGGCCTTGAAGTCTGTTTCTTCCCAGCCCCTCACCCCATTTCTTCAGATCAGCTTTGTGAGGGTTCCCGGGTCCTGCTAAGCACCCTTTCATTTCTGATAAATGTGACCCAGGGGATAGGCAAACTGGCAAGAAAATACTCTGGGAGTGGTGGTCTTACTTACGGCTCTGAGTTATCTACCCGGGGAAGGGAGCACAGTTGTCTGCCATGCAAACTCAGCTATAAAAGTTCACCAGTGCCAGCCGGGCAAGCAGCCACCTCCCCTAACACGAGCCCCAGCCCCCGGTTTCCTGAGCAGACTCGGGTCCGGCGTTGGGCCAGGTGTGTGGAGGGACACCATCACCTCTAAGCTCCATCCTAAAAATGGATACCAGCAGGCCCTAGGAGATGTCCCCCAGCAAGAAATGAAAGGAAAATGGCTTAACTGCTAAAAATAAGCACACTGCTGGGTTCCATTCTCAGAGTCTCAAAAAGCAGAGTCCACAAACTGTAAGCTGGGTTCCATCGGGAGTCAGGCTGACCCTGAGGTAGGGCCTCCTGCACCTGCCAGGCTGCACATTGGGAAGTGGGGGCTGCTTGCCCATGTTCCCAGGGATGTAAGACTCACCCTGGAAACTAAAAGGAACAGCAGACGGGGGGCTTGGAGGAGGACTGACCCCACGTCGGCTGAGTGTCTGAGTCCCTCTGTCGTGGGAACGGCGTCCTCGTTGACCTGTGCCCCTGAAATGCCTTTGTATCTGGGTGACCCCTGCCCTCGCAAGGCAGTCCCCTTGTGGGTGCCTCTCGTCTGAGCCAGGCCAGCCTTCAAGCAAGTAGGGAGCAAGAACAGACGGTTTCCAGGGTACACGGCCTTGCCATCACTCCCCACGACAGCAGCACCAGGAATCTATGCTGCTGAGTCCCAGCGATGTGGGGAAGCAGTTATTGTCAAACTGTTGTTAAAATACAGGGCTAATTACATTCAAAGCAGCAGGGTGAACCCTCCCCTCTTCCCTCCTGTTAGAACAGCACAAACAATCTCTCAGGATTGTGGACATGGGCCTGGCCCGCCACAGTTGAGAAGGTGAATGGCAGGTCCCCAAAGGGACGGAGGGAAGGTGATGAGGACGTTACCCTCTGGCTCTGGACCCAGGTGACAGGCCAAGGGAGACCAGGGCGCTTGGCCCCCACAAGCCTGTCCCCACAGAGGGGACTAACATCTTCAGGACGTGTCATGCAAGCCGCCAGGACTTGGCAGGAATGAACAGCGGTCCCCACAAACACCCGTGTTTGTGCCCCTACTGTGTGCAGATAAAATGCCTGGCCCCAGCACCAGGATTATAGTATGTCCTTCATAGACTGCCATCTTTCCCCAGCAGCTTCAGACAGCCATGCGAGAAGACCATCAGCGTTCCTAGTGGGGATGCAGCGTTAACGCCAGGGGCTGAGGCCAAGCGAGATGAGCAGGGAGACGCCAGCATTTCTGAAGCTGAGAACAAACAGCCTGAGTAGCAGGATGAGGATTTCTGTGTCGTGAGAGGCCTGGCTGAAGATGGTTCCAAGGGGATGGGGCAGACAGAAAGGGACCACAGGGTGATGTTTTGTGGGGAGGGGGCAGGCAAGCAAGGGAGGGGATGAGAGGAGGGAGCCATCCATTGAGTCTGAAGACAGAAAAGATATGGACACTGAAGTCACTGGCGGGGCTGCAAGGTGTGGGAGCCAGGGTTCTACTCTGGGCTGCCAGAGGCCTCAGTTTAGAAATGAAGGATGCGGTTACATGGCACTGACACCAAGGCTGTTCACCCGGGTGGAAGGCCGGGGCTGAAGGCTGGGAAGTGTTTAGACACTTTTTTTAGAAGTAAAAGAGCAAGTAAATGAAACAGATGGAGAGGTGCTGAGGCGACATGGACATGACACAGGGCCCGGCAGCTGTAGCGTTGGCCTGGGGGGTTGTTGTTCAGTCGCTCAGTTGTGTCTGACACTTTTCGACCCCATGGACTACATACAGCACGCCAGGCTTCCCTGTCCATCACCATCTCCCAGAGCTTGCTCTAACTCATCTCCATTGAGTCAGTGATGCCATCCAACCATCTTGTCCTCTGTTGCCCCCTTCTCCTCCCGCCTTCAATCTTTCCCTACAGTAGGGTCTTTTCCAATGAGTCATCTCTTCACATCAGGTAGCCAAAGTATTGGAGCTTCAGCTTCGGCGTCAGTCCTTCCAATGAATATTCAGGACTGATTTCCTTTAGCTTGACTGGTTGACTCTCCTTACTGGTCAAGGAACTCTCAGGAGTCTTCTCCAGCACCAGAGCACCAGGGGGCTGGGTGGGGGCTAGGTGATGGGGAGGAGCCAGCGGGGGTTGATCAGGCTCCAGGGAAGAATAGAGGGAGGGGGCCTCTGGCCAGAAATGCAGAGAAGCTAGTCCAGCCCCAGTCTTTGAGGCAAGGCCCTGTGAAGAGGGGGTCTGGGCCCGGACCCTCTGGCTGCACCAGCCATGCGCGGAGTCAAGGAGACTAGCGTCACCCAGGAGAGGCCAGCAGCCCTTCCGACTGATGCTCAGGCAGATTGGGAGGATTGGGGCAAGGACAGTTCCAAACACGGCAGCAGGCAGGTGTCCAGGGCTCCAGACTCTACTACGGTGAAAGGTTAACTGTGGAAGGAGCTCCCAAGAAGTTCAAATATTTGGCCAAGAATGACAAATGCAAACTGAGGGAAACAGAGGGAGTTCTGAGCTTGTCTCTTGCTTTCGGCCCCTGGGGAGGTAAGTGTGTCCTGGAGGCCTGAACAGAGGAGGCAGCTGGGCTTCAGGCCCAACCCACTGGGCTGCACGTGGTCTTAGGTGCGATTCCTCTGTTCTCCACCTGCCACTCCTCAGGAGTCCACGTAAAACACGGGATGGGAATCATCCTCGCAGAGCAGGGACCGGGGGAGCCCGACGCTGTCTGAACAGGTGGTCCCCAGCGGGGTCTGGAGCTCTGGGGCCTCCGGTGTCTGCGGACTCGCTGGGATTGAGGGCTTGAAGCCCATGAGAAGGCAGCACCCGACACACGGCCAGAGAACAGGGTGAGGGGCAGGCACGGTGCCCACAGGTGCCCCACTCGCCTGTCCACCAGCAAGATAACCAGTTCTCCAAACCCAGAGTCAGTGGTCACTGCCCAGGACTCGAGGACAGCGGAGACCAGGTCCCTCTGGTTCCGTGAAGCACGCTGACCCTCCTGCATGGGGAGCATGAGGTCCTTGGCTCCCCAAGACGTGGGCTCTCCTTTGTCTCCAGACACCTGCCCCCAAGGACCCCCTCTTACCTGAGGGCTCAAGTATTCGGTGCTTAAAGGGGGTGAAAGCTATGGATCCAGAGAGCCTGTGGAACAATGCTCACGACCCAAAAGCAGCAGTCAGGCTTCAGTGTGGCATCCAGGGTCCCACATCAGGACGTGTGACCCTGGGGGAAAGAAAGTCCTGTCCATGTCCTCTTCCTCAGAACATTCCAGAACACCCAGGAAGGAGCCACAGCCAGTGGCCTCGCTTACCTGGGGACTCGTCTCCAACAGGAGCCCTGGGTCGCCCTCACCCAAGTCCCAGAGTCACTGCCTTGGGAGACATGGACACTCTGACCTCAGCTGCCCCCAACAGGGCCCTTTAAGAACTCTCTTTTGCTTATGATCCATTGGCCTAAAAGGGAGCCTTACAGGGAGGGCGTGTGGTCTGCACTCTAACGGCCCCCAAGAGGACCCGGGATCTCTGGGCACTTTGGCAGAGTGGCCAGGCTGACGGCCACCCACCCTGGCTGGTGTCCACAGCGAGGGTTCAGCTGCACAGTGAGCCAGGCCGGGCTGGAAGAGGGACCGCTGACTGACCACCGCCCAGCGCAGCTGGACGACTTTTGCTTCCCCATTAAACGGGTCCAGCCTCCCCCTCAGGCCGTGTGGTATGTTGTTGGACCCTGCACCCCAGCCTCACCCTCGGGCCATGTGACTAGACCCTGCGCCCCGGCCAGCATCTTCAGTGGGATCAGTTATTAGCTGGCAGTTTGGAGCAGTAAAGGCTCTTGGCTCAGGTTCTCCGGCCCGGGAGGTATAATTATCTCACGCACAATGGCTCTGCCACCTGTCACATCTTCTGGTTTAGTGTTTTTTTAATGAAACATAACAAGAGGGGTTGTTTTTTTGCTTCGCAGCAGAGCTCACTTAGCGCTGAACTGGGCGGGCCGTCTGGATCCCCCAACCCGTGGCCTGACCAGCACTCACTCCCCAGACACCTGGGCCATCCTGAAACTCAGCCTTCGACCGATCAATCTCAACTGCCTGCACACTCTCTGCCCCAGCCACCCTCCCACGGGCCTCAGGGCCTCCTGGAAGGTTCCTGACCCACCCCCCACCACAGTGACCCTCGAGTCAGCCACGTGCACAGCCGCCGTGCTCCTACCCATGAGGGCCCAGGTCTTCAGGGCCGCACACCACCGTCAGCATGAGGGGTTGTGCTCAGGAGCCCAGCAGTTTCCTCAGGCCCAGGCTCAGCCCTCAGCCTTCTGTTCTCAGGGTGCTGGGTCTCAGCCAGCCCGTTTCCACCTGACGTCCAGCTGCCAAAGGCCGTGTCTGCAGCGGGGGCTCCTGTCCTCCACCACGGTCCTCAAGAGAGGCCCCAACCTGTGGGCAGCCCGGCTGATGGTCTGAGGACACAGCGCTGAGCTCTGGGGACCGTGTCTCCACTTAAAGACGCTCGATTCATAGGTTCGCGGGCTGGGCCGGCCCTGTGTCTCGGCTTCAAACTCTCGAGCGCCAGGAGGTGCTGACCACAGAGCTCTCTCCCTGAAGCTGCTCCTTCCAGCGCCTGCGTGGTCACCTGGGAGCGTCTGAGAATCGAGGCAAACGTATGTCATCTGCTAACGTCTCCTCTTTCCCTTTCAGCCACCGGATCTCCAAGTCGAAGTTCAGGTGAGTGGGACGGTCCTCTCCTGCTGGGCCCCGGGGGGCCCCCCAGGTGGGGGCTGAGCGAGGGGGCAGCCGAGGGGGTCTCGGGGTCTGGTGACGTAGTGTTTGTGTTAGTGTTCATGGCTGTACCAGCCTGGGAGGTTGTGAGACGCTGTGTATCCCTCCCTTGTGAGATGAAGTCCAGTTGAGATAAGTGCCACGCGCCGCTCTCTGCCGCTTTTGGCCACGTTTACAGGACTTGGTGAGGTGAGGGCACGCGAGTTCCATCAGCACTGCCTCAGAGCCTTCCGCAGGGTCATCCGCCCCTCCAGCCCCACTGCCTGTGTCCCGCATCCTGTCTCTTACACATCAAGGCTTCTGCGTGGAGCCCTTCTTCCACCCGAATCATGGTGTCCCGGCCCCCTGCAGAACCTGGGCTCCCGTTAGGAAGCTCGGCTGTCACCACATCTTGACACCTTCTGTAGACCCCCATCCCTCCCTGCATCGCTCCGTTCAGACCTCTGTCACCACCCTCACCGTGTGCGTTCCTGCAACCCCAGTACGCTCCATGAGCTTCCAGAGTGTGGTTTGCGTGGAGCCAAGCTGAGCGCCCGACTGGCGGCAGGCCGTCCCCTGATTATGTCGGATGTGAGGACGGGCATGGGAATTTACTCTCACAAAGTTTGCATAAGCCAGAAAACATCGATTATGTTTTGTAATCCATCTAATCTTGCTGTCCCAGCCTCACCTGCTGCATAGCTTGCACATGCGTGCGTGCGTGTTAAGTTGCTTCTGTCCTGTCTGAATCTGTGCGACCCCATGGACTGTAGCCCGCCAGGCTCCTCTGTCTGTGGAATTCTCCAGGCAAGAATACTGGAGTGGGTTGCCATGCACTCCTCCAGGGGACCTTCCCAACCCAGGGATCGAACCCACGTCTCCTACATTGCAGGCGAGTTCTTTACCATCTGAGCCACCTGGGAAACCCCAGCAGGAGCAGAAACAGCATTAGATTTCAGTCCAGCCAAGCAGCACAGCCCAAGTCCCTGAGGTTGAATGTTTAGTCCCTCTTCTTCCCTCTGCCCAGCTCCTCTCCAGGGTGGAAAAGCGGGGTTAGGACTTCAAGATCTCGGAAATACACAGGGGCTCAGTGAGGACTCTGTTCTCTGGCCCCCAGGCTCTTTGAACCCATGGGTGGGCTGCGGGAACCAGGCGCTGGCCCATGCTCCTGCCACATGTCACCACGTGCACTTGCCTGGGTAGAGCTCTAGTTGAAGGCTGGTGCCCCCCAGGCACCCACAGACCCCGTGCCCCAGCCAGGAGAGGCATCTCCGGCCCCAGTGTCCCAGCCTCCCTACGACTATCCCGGTGTTTCTAACACTTGGCTCTGGGTCGCTGGTGAGGGACCCTCTCCTCTCCCACCTTCTGCTCCCTGTTCCACTGGGGCTGGAAAACACAGGCTTTGTCTCCTTCCACTTCCTCTCAAGCTGAGACCTCCTTTACATAAAAAGCCTGAAGTCAAGTCTCCCTAAAATAGATCCCTGGTGGTTCAGACGGTAAAGCATCTGCCTGCAATGTGGGAGACCCGGGTTCGATCCCTGGGCCAGGAAGATCCCCTGGAGAAGGAAATGGCAACCCATCCCAGTACTCTTGCCTGGAAAATTCCGTGGATGGAGGAGCCTGGTGGGCTACAGTCCATGGGGTCGCAAAGAGTCGGACACAACTGAGCAATTTCACTTTCACTTTCACCCCAGGCCCAGGTCCTGTCACAGGAGAGAGCTTGAGAATGTAGCAAATTCTTTCTCTCCATAATACTCAGATCTCACTGCTTCTCCAGTATCTGGAGGGGCAGTGGGTATCACTTGGGGAGGGACAGATGGGCTGTCCTTCCCTGGAGGGGTGGCAGGTATCTCTTGGGGAGGGATGGATGGGTTGTCCTGCCCCAGAACAGCATTAGGCTTGACACAGACTCAAAGCGAAGTTCTGTTTCCCAGTCAAAGCTCAAAAAGCACTTTGTGTTCTGACAGTTCCAAAGCCTCCACGCAGGGAGATGGCCCAGGAGACAGAGGGCGTTCTGTGTCCAGTGCTCTAGGGTGTAGGCCATGCTCCTGGAGAAGAGTGGGCCCAGGGGCCCCACACAGACTCTGCCTGGCTTTGAGACAAGGCTCACCTACTTGTCCTGGATGCCCCTCTAGGAAGGGCTCCTCCCCCAGCAGCTACAACTCAAGATGCAGCAGAAATACAGGGAGAAGGCTCTGTATTCATCCCCAAAGGCTTATTCACAGTCGGTTGACACCATCAGGAAATCCATGTTCAGAAGAGGGTGTTATGGCCAAGGGGCACAGGGCCACGTGGCTCATGCGTGGCCAAGTGACTCATGTGTGGCCGAGCCTGGACCCATGCCCGGGACCTGGGCAGCACCCTGTGATGAGGTCCTGCCTAGGGTTCCAAAACTGTTTCTTCTTGGCTGTGTCCGGGGTCAGGGGAGGGGTCCACAGCACAGCTACTGAGCAGAAACACAATGCCAGTCACTTCCGCCCTTTCTAAAACTCTCTAGCAGCCACATTAAAAAGTGAAAAGGAGCAGGTGAAATTAATCATAATACATTTTTATTTAAGCCAATGCATCTAAAACATCATTTCAAGATGTAATTAATACTTTAAATTAATGATATATTAATTTATATTAATTTTTCTACTAAATCTTCGAAGTCCAGTGTGCCCTTTACACTGACTGCACATCCTATTTGGACTGGCCACATATGGCCAATTGCTCCTACACCAGATATTGTGACCCTACAGGGTCAGATGGCAGCTACCTCATCTACATCTTACAGTCTGATACTGGGTCTGTTGAGGGAATAGCAAAGCTGGCAATGGACTGAAAATGCCACCAAATCACCAAGGTCGACCCTGAGCAGCCTCTGTGGAGCAGACGTGGGAAAACTGCATCCTCACAGCCTCTGTCTGACTATGGCAACTGAAATGGAGTAGGAGATGCAGGAGAAATACAGTAACGAAGGGGAAGAAGGGGAGAGAATTTCCACAACTCAGAAGTAACCTCCTAAACAGGGAAAAGCCTGTTTTATTCCAGTAGAGAATCTAAAATTTGAGTTAAAAAAAATTCTCGATCATTTTCTCAGTTTAACAATGACACATAGTAGAATCTGACCTACAAATGTCCTATTCTACTTGCAAGACAAAGATACAAAATCACAGGATTTTTAAAAGAAATATTAGAGCAGAGGTCTTAGGGAAATTCTGGCGAATTAATGGACTTACAATATTTGGGCAATATTAGAGTATTTTCTTGGTAAGCCAAGCCGCTACTTTGAGGAATTAGTTATAATAAGGAATTTTGTGACATTTGGGGCTCAGAATAGGACTTCAGCAGTTATGGAACAAAATGTTCTGAGGTCTTCTCAGTTTGAAGGGATTAGCCAGGCAATGTGCTAGGGTTGGATCTGGGAGATGCGGGGGTCTGAGGGGAGCCCCTCTGGGTCTGAGGGGAACCCCTCTGGGTCTGAGGTGAACCCCTCAGAGTCTGATGTTTGGAAACCTGTCCCATTTTCAGAGAAATGTGCCCACAAGTTCCCCCTTACCTCTGCCATCCCCTCAGCAACAAGGCACATTTAGGTTACTTTTGTATAAAACAATTAAATGTAGGGGTTTTCTGGGTTGCTTGTTCTCCACTCTTGTCTCTGGAAAGAGCCCCAAGTGTCCACCATTTGGTGTCTCCTGTTCTAGACGCTTGTCCAGAATTCTGTGCCAGGCAGATTCTTCCAGGAGCACCACCCCCTCTCCTCCTGACCCCAGCCCTGGGGTCTTAAGCCTTGTCCACGCAGGCAGTGAGCAAGTCTGTGCACAGCTTGTCTCTGCTGCCCTACCTGCCTGCCCACCCAGTGTTCCTGCTGTGGGGCGTGGGGGGCAGGGGAGCTACGGATCCATCACAAAGGGCAGGACTCCGCCCCTCAATCTCAGGACCTTGCAATCTCTATCGCCATCTCTATCTCGGTCTCGGTGGAGAGGCAGGAACCACACGTTAAACATACTGACTTACAGGAAAGGGGCATCGTGTCCTCTGCGGAACCTGGCTGGCTGCCCACGGCAGGCTGGGAGGCCCTCCCCTGAGGCACCTACTAAACCCGCCTGGCACCCAGCTCCCTTGGGGTCCGTCAACCACGTGAGCTTCCTGTCTGTGTGTTAACTGCTGAATATGTAGAACCCAACTGGGATAGATGCTTAACAAATGCCTCTTGAGTGTGTAGCCAAGTGAGTAACATAGACAGTGTGTCTGGAGCTCCAAGGCTGGGACACCTAGAAAAGTGCATCATGGAGAAGGTGGGCCCCCCATCAAGCCCTGAAGCAAGGTGGGACCCCAGAAAGGAGGCTTGGTAGGGGGACAACCATGTCAAGCAGAGTTGTCTGGTGGGACCACGGATGGACGGGTGAGAAGATATAAGAGAGGATACGACAAAGCCCACCATGCCCTCTGGGTCTGCGTCCAGAAAGTTCCACTTCTAGAGGAAATGACTTTGCCAGGGAGCTGAGGGAACGTGAATAGCAGGTGAATTCCTCCTCCTTGCTTTATCATTTAATCTCTATATTCTCTGTGCGCATGTAAACACACAAATAAACTTACACGTTCTAATAAACTATTACGTTTATTATACAGTAGGAAGCGTTGCCAGGAAACCAGTTGTCAAGCAAAGCTATATTTTGAAGAGTGGGAGGTGTGTAATTATCTTTAAATACTTTCTCTGGGTAGTAATTACTCCACCCCCACCCCAGCCCAAGCCCACGTGGCTCTCCTGAGTGGCTGTCACGCGAGCACACGATTCCACGGGCGCCACCCTGACCGTCAGTCACAGTGGCTACCGGGGATCCACCAGAGCATCTCTAGACCCCCAGGACAGGCCCCCAGCACGTGGCACCTGTATCCACCAGTCCCAGACTTGGGAACAGAACTTAGTCAAGCTTTCATCAGCATGAGACAGAGGTCGAGTTAGTTCCTCCAAACCCCAGAAGAAAGCAGCCACAATTCCATTAGCCTCTGAATCAGTTATGGGTGATTTCTGTAAATGAGATTGCCTCTATTCAAAACACATTCTTTGCAACTACAGTGTAAACTATTGACCACTTTAAAAATACACAAAGTGAGAGTTAAGTTGTACTGGGGACAAAGTGAGGACTATAGCCTGGGAGACAGCATCTCAGCTAGCTCTGAGAACTGCTCCAAAGAGGCAGGGGGAAGGTCAGTATATACATGATTTTGGTGAGGGTGGAGTTCATACAATCAAGCACACATTTTTTGCAGGTTTCTGCTAGTCATCTGTAGGTCACTGCTAGTCACGAGGAGCAGGCATCACCATGAAGGATTTTAGTGTTTTTCTAGCAATAAGGAGATGTAAGACGTGGGCTCATAAAACCATCTCCTGAGAATATCCAACTCTCTCACGACCAGTCCTGCCAGCTTTTTCCAGAGCACAAAGGGCCTCATTTCTGCTCTCCACAGAGAACTCTTTGCAGGGGTGCTGAAGGTCAGCAGCCGCAGTAGCACATGATTTAATCTTTGCAGAGGTAGACGGCAAGTGCCTGTGGCAAGGGTCCATTTGTGTGTCGTTCATGCATGCGTGCTCAGTCAGTCATGTCAGACTCTGCAATCCCATGGACTGCAGCCCGCCAAGGGTCCTCTGTCCATGGGATTTCCCAGGCAAGAATACTGGAAATACTGCCATTTCCTTCTTCAGGGGATCTTCCCGACCCAGGGGTTGAACTCATATCTCCTGTGTCTCTTGCATTGGCATGCAGTCTCTTTACCACTGAGCCACCTTGACGCTACTTAAGATTAGACATGAGTTTGTCTTGAAAATTTGTTTTTCAGGGAGAAAAAATGTCTCCCAACTTTGTCTATAGTATTACCCACCTCAGTCACAGGAGACAAGTGGAGTCTCACCCTGGCCAGAGAAGGTGCCTCAGCACTGCAGTCCAGCACCCAGAGGCCGCCCCTCACCCCGACTAGAGGCCACCCCATCGCCTTGTCCCTCTTCACCCCACCCCTGCTCTTCCCTGACAGTACGTCTAGGGGAACGGAAAGCCCACAGCACACTGGGAACCATCATTTTTCTGACCTCCGGGCATTTCTTCTCCATGTGGTGACCCTCCCCCAGTAGCAGCCATCGTCCCTGCCAAGGCTCAGTGCTCCCTGGAGGTGGCGTCCCTGCCCTCCAGGTGATGGAGGGCGGGGTCAGGTCAGAACCCTTCCTTCCCTTCCCTGCTCTGCAGGCCACAAGCCAGGTTCTTCTGCAGCTCCCGGGCAGCCAGGCCTCCTTAGATGTACCCCCCTTCCTAGTCTCAGAACAGATTCCAGCAGAGGCGTGGCAGTAGGATTTCCCACGGACTGTAGCCACAGAAATAACAGAGTAGAAATACAGACAAGGTCAAGCTCTCCCGAAGGCCATCTGGGGTGGGTGGAGGGTCCTAACAGCAGAGTCTGGACAATGGAGACCTAGGACATCGTGTAGATATGAGTGCAGGCGTCTAGTGCCCCCTTTCTGTCCACAAGTAGGGACTCTGTCCTCAGCCGCCAGTGGGTGTTCCTGCAGACACGACCTGCAAGTACTTCCAGGCATTCCTCTGCAGGGGACCCACGCTGGTGACTGGGCCTATGCCCCCCCACCCTTTCTCTCTCCCCTGCATTCAAGGCCAGGGTCAAAGGCCTGCTAACCTGCCTCCAAAATCGGTCAGCTCATTGTCGTCTTTGCATGAGTGAAGCTGTGGCCTTCCTCATCTCTATCCCAACAGCCTGCTGAGCATCCCTACCCTGAGCTGACCCTTGACCGCATGGCTGTTTCGTTGGCTGTTTGGTTTCTAGACCCAGATCCCCTCTCAAGGCAGGGCCCCACAGTCTCCCCTGCACTCCCTTCCCTTCCCTCCTCGCACGGTGTGGGCATTTGTTAAATGTTTGGCCGACAAAATTACCAAATATAGCTGCATATTTTCTCAGTATTGAGGATGAAATTGGGGACAAGCTATAAACCCATCCACCAAAGTTATAAAATGCGAGTGTTTCCTTGGGATCTTCCAGCTCCATGGTTTTCATCTATGGTTACATAAGAGAACCACCCGGAATCTCAACAAACAGCAATGGTATTTGGGTGTGCTGTGTCACTTCAGTCGTGTCCGACTCTGCAGCCCCACAAACTATAGCCCACCGGGTTCCTCTGTCCATGGGATTTCCCAGGCAAGAATACTGGAGTGAGTTGCCATCTCCTCCTCCAGGGGATCTTCCCAACCTAGAGATCAAACCCAAGCCTCTTGTGTCTTCTGCACTGGTAGGCGGATTCTTTACCACTAACACCACCTGGGAAGCCCAACAGTATCTGGGGAGTATTTAAAACTACCCCCAGACAATCAGATTTAACTGGTTTGGAGTTGGAGCCTGAATACTGGTGGATTTTTGTTATTAAGTTTCCCCATGTGATTCAATGCACAGCCAGGTTTGATGAAAGTCTCTAACCAGAGGCCACGGGGGTAAGTGTCCCATGGCCAATGGATGAGCTTTCAGGACTTCATGAGTGCCATGAACTCATGTTAGATATGGGGGTTCTGCCCATTGTCCTGAACAGAGCCCTCCATGAAGGCAAGAAGCTCTGTTGCCGACTCTTCCCAGCCCCATAGACAAGGCAGCTAGGCAAGGGCTGGGCACCTGGGCAGGGGGTGGTGGGCGGGTAACACCACTGACTCTGTCCCCAACCGGTATCAGTCCAGGCACCCAAACTCAAGGACCCTTGGCTTTCTTCTAAAAATCAGGACAATGCCTTCTCTGCAGATGTTTAAAGACTCAGAGAAGGCATGAGAAGTGCCTGATATGGAACCAGGCAGACGTGGGGTTCACTAGTGATAGCCATTACTAGTCCTAGTGCTATCATCACTACTAGTTATACTTGCAGCTCTATTTCTAGTGATGCCATTGTTATGAAAATAGGATACCTCCCTTCAGCATCAGGTGAGACCCTCACACAGGCTGACCCGCATGGGGTCACAGACGAGGGGGCCATGGTCCCAGAGGAGCAGGACACCCTTCCCCCACCCCCCACCGAGGCCACACTGCCAGCCACGAGCCGGTGACTGAGGTGGGATGCTGGTCCCTCGGCCCTTGGTGAGGCTGGGCCAGCTCAGGGGAGGGAGGTGTCCAGCACAGGACCTGAACTCACAGCTGCCCCCTCCCGTCCCCCTCCTCTGCCCCTTCCAGCCGCTACTGGCGCAGGTGGAATCGGTTCTGCAGAAGGAAGTGCCGTGCAGCCGTGAAGTCCAGCATCTTCTACTGGCTGGTCATCTTCCTGGTTTTCCTCAACACTCTCACCATTGCCTCCGAGCACTACAACCAGCCCCACTGGCTCACGGAAGTCCAAGGTGAGAGGCCACCAGCCCTCCTGTTACTCAGGCTGATGGGGCTCTCTCCTGGGGGTGGGCAAGGGGAGCAGGACCAGGGACGAGGGGGCAGTGGGTCACCCTGGCCACACCAGAGCCTGGCAGCTCACCAGCCAGTAAAACACACCAATTCACTATACATAGACGGGACCCACCAGGCCAGCAATGCTGTCTACCTGTCCCGGCGGTCACCACTGGGTCCCGGAGACCACGTCAGGAACAGTGGCTTGTTTGACTCTGTCAGATCCTTAACTGCCCACCCATCGCCCCCAGTGGATTGCCACAGCCCAGCCTCCAGGTGTGCTGGCCCGCACCTGCGAGGGGCAGTGAGCACAAAGCCAGGGAGAGGACGAGGGTGGCCTGGGCCCAGGGACCTGTCCTCCATGGCTGTCAGTCCCACCACCCCTCGCTGGGGTACTAACCCGAGGGCCAGGCAGACCCAGCCTGGACCCCGAGGTGTCTCCCGGAACCTGGGTGGGCCCATCTCCTCCCAGTGACGAGGACAGACAAGGACCCCGGCTCCTGCTCTTGGCTTGTGGCTCTGAGCAGACAGGTAGCAGCCCCTCAAACCTCACTTCTTGTGTCTGGAAAATGGGCATGACAGCAGCTGGGCTGCCTGGAGAGCTGCTGTGGGGTGGGGGACTCAGGGGGTAGGGGGTTGTCACTGGATGTGTGCTGAGGTTGTAACTAGATGAGTCGCAGAGAGAGGGCCATGTATGGGACCCAGCATGGGGTGTCCCTGCAGGGACCCCCCCACCCTCACCTCCTCTGCCCCGCCCTGTGCGGCCCCTGCAGACACGGCCAACAAGGCGCTGCTGGCCCTGTTCACGGCGGAGATGCTGCTGAAGATGTACAGCCTGGGCCTGCAGGCCTACTTCGTGTCGCTCTTCAACCGCTTCGACTGTTTCATTGTGTGCGGCGGCATCCTGGAGACCATCCTGGTGGAGACCAAGATCATGTCACCCCTGGGCATCTCCGTGCTGCGCTGCGTGCGCCTCCTGCGGATATTTAAGATCACAAGGTGCGTGCCGCCCTCCTCTCCCCTCCTCTTTTCTTCCAAGGAGCAAGCGTCTTTTAATTTCGCCGCTGCCGTCGCCCTCCACAGTGATTTTGAAGCCCAAGAAAATGAAGTCTGTCACTGTTTCCACTTTTCCCCCATCTATTTGCCATGAAGTGTTGGGACCGGATGCCATGATCTTAGTTTTTCAATGTGTAAGGATTCCAGTTTCTCTACTTTCTAAACTCTCTTGTCCATCTCCAGAGACAGGACTTAAAGGATTTTTGAGTGACTCTGCTTGCTCCTCCTGGGGTTTGCCCAAAACTATTTTTAATGTGGCATTTCAGGTGCCTTTTAAGTAATTCTCAAAACCCCACCTGCTTGGGGTTTTGTCTTTGGTTTGGGGTTTTTTTTTTTTAATTCCTGTAGAAAAGAATTCTTGCTCCCAGGTATTGTCACAGCATCTTAGTGTTCATTCTATTTTTATCAACAATTTATCTATTTCTAATCTGAAACTACTGCCAAGAAACCATTTTAAATCTGTCTTTATCCTCAAGCTTCCCAAAGCCGGTCCACAGGAATTTTCAGATCCCCAAAACGTCTGTGAACAGAAAAATTTCATCGTCTAATTAGAAGTTCCTTTGGCAAAGGTCATTGTCTTCCTGTTTTTCAGTCTCCAAACCCTCTGGGGGCTTCTGGGAGACGCCAGAGAGACTAGCTGTGGGGGATCCCATGCCCACTTCTGAACCTCGTCCCCAATATGTTCCAGAGACCAGAATGTGCCTAAAATAGGGTCTGGGAGTGTGCCTGAAGGTCCCCTGAGACAGGTCAGCCTGGCTTTCCCTCAAACAAGTCTGTTTCTCCCTCTTCTTTGAAAATCTCTTAGAGATGCTATTTTTAACAGTGTTTTCTGGACCAGTGATTGTGATTCTCAAACCAAGTTGTCCTCCTCAAAGGAGCTCATTAAGGATCTCCCCAAACCTAGAGATTTTGACCAGAAACCCCCAGGGTGTTCTAAGCCATGGCTCTGATAACCTCACTTTGAGACACTCTGGCCTGATTTTCTGCAGCCATCCTTTGTCCTCTTTCTCGTCTAAAATTATGAACCTTCGTGTATAACTGGAAATCGTGATCTTTTCTTGGCATTCACTTCTCTAGACTGTATCCCCGACCCCATTAAGATGGTACTTCTGATGGCTTTCAACTGAGAAAACTCATAATGATGAAGACCTAACATGAATCCAGCCAAGTTTTTAAATTGATTTTTCCCTTCTTCTTCCCTTTTTAAAAATTTATCTATTTTTAATTGAAGGATAATTACTTTATAATATTGTATTGGTTTCTGCCATACATCACCATGAATCAGCCATAGGTATACATATGTCCCCTCCCTCTTAAACCTCCCTCCCACCTCCCACCCCATCCCACCCCTCTAGGTTGTTAGAGAGCCCCGGTTTGAGTTCCCTGAGTCATGCAGAAAATTCCCGTTGGCTCTCTAATTTTACGTACATAATGTAGACGTTTCCATGTTACTCTCTCCATTCGTCCCACCCTCTCCTTCCCCCACTGTGTCCACAGTGTGTTCTCTAGTCTGTGTCCCTGTTGCTGCCCTGCACATGGGTTCCTCACTGCCGCTTTATAGATTCCATATGTATGTGTTAATACACGATATTTGTCTTTCTGACTTACTTCACTCTGTATAATAGGCTCTAGGTTCAGCCATCTCATTAGAACTAACTCAAAAGTGTTCCTTTTTATGGCTTATATTGCACTGTGTATAAATGTACCACAATTTCTTTATCCATTCATCTGTTGATGGACATCTAGGTTGCTTCCTTGTCCTAACTATTGTAAATAGACCTGCAATGAACATTGGAGTGCATGTGTCTTTTTCAATTTTGATTTCCTCAGGGTTTACACCTAGCAGTGGGATTGCTGGGTTGTACAATAGTTTTACTCTTAAGGAATAGTTTTTTTTTAAGGAATCTCATACTGTCTTCCATAGTGGCTACATCAGTTTACATTCTCACTGACAGTACAGGAGGGTTCCCCTTTTTTCCACACCCTCTCTAGCATTATTGTTTGTAGATATTTTTTGGTGATGGCCATTCTGACCAGTATAAAGTGATATCTCATTGTAGCTTCAATTTGCATTTCTCTAATAATGAGCGACGTTGAGTGTCTTTCTTGTGTTTATCAGTCATCTGAATGTCTTCTTTGAAGAAATGCCCGTTTAGGTTTTTTGCCCAAAACACTTGATCTTTAAGTGCACCACCATCCCTCCAGCCATTGCCATTTTCCCTTTGAAGCCCTGAATCCTTCCCTTGCTCCTGAAACTCCCTCCCCAGGCCCTGAAAGGTGAGAAAAGGCTGACTCAGCACTGACAGCCCCACTGGTGAATCCTGACCACAGGGGCCCCACAGCCCGAAGCTCAAACCCTCCAGTCTCTGAGCTCTCGGTTTCCTGTCAGTCTGGCCGTGAGCCACAGATCACCCTCCTCTGCCATCTCCCAGCCCCGACTCTTCCCAGGGACCCAGGGAGGCTCTGCACTCGCTGCGGGCCCCTGCTATAAAGGTGACTTTGACGTCCACCCACTTCCCAGGCTGGGGGCCCACGAGCCGGCCATCAGTGAGGAAGGTGCTGGTTTTCTGGGATTAAGGAGATAGGAGAGGATGACGCTCCGCTCCCTGCCTCACCCCGACACGACCACAGGGCCAGCCGGGGGACTCTGAGAGGCTCAGGGAGCACCTCCCCAGTCCCACGGTCCAGGCAGGTTGCGCTGCCAATGTGACCAGGCCATGGGCCCATGCGGGTCTGGCCCCTGTGTGGCCGAGGCCTCTGAAGCAAACAGGGATGACCAGGCCTTTGAGTTTGTTATCCATATGGGTTTGACTGTAGAGTCTCGGCCCCCAGATGAAGTGCAGGATGGGGAACAGGAGAAACTAAACCAGCAGTTTCCACCCCAGGCCCAGGCCATCCCAGACCCTGACTGCCACGGTCTGGAATCCTATTTGCCGCCTCCTGGCCCAGCAAATGCCGGGTTCAGCCTCAGCGTCCCTCTAGGCTCTGGTGAGTCTTAGGGAACCAGGGTTCGACTCCTGCTGAGTTGGCCCTTGGACACTGCATCCCCAAGACTCTATTTTATAACTGGAGGTTTCTTCCTTTTAACCCCCTCTCCCAATTCGCCCACCTCCCCCCACACATGTCTGGGAACCACAGTCTGTTCTCCTGACACGTACCAGTATGATGCGTGGTCTGGCCGTGGAAGGTCAGGAGCCTCAGACCTTATGTTATGGAGGAATCCATGGGGAGACATCGGGGCCATGAACACCTGCTCCCTCGGTGATGGTCTTACCTGAATCACTGATGAGCTCGCTCACTCATTCATTCATTCATTCCTATTCTCCTCTCTCCTTCCTTTAATGTCAGTGGATCAGATGTTTTCGGTGTGCTGTGATTTATTGCTGTCCTAGGAGCACTGGCTGTGATACATTTATGAATCCTCACCTGGGCCTCGGGGTGGCAGCTGGAGGGGGCGGGGGAGCAGGGCAGGTGAGATGCTGGCCTGGGTGGCAGGTGCCAGGAGCTGCTGAGGGGGTAAGGAGGCCTGAAGGGCGACCCTGGGCCAGAGACACAGCTGTGCTTTACTGTGATAGGATGGGCCATGGGGGCCCCGTCACACCATCATGTCGTGCAGAGAACCACCACCCCATCGACTGAGACGACTGGGCGCCCCTGGGCACACGAGGAGCAGGAGAAGAGGGTTCTCCCTTCTGGCCAGAGGCTCTGCCCACCCTTTCAGCCCCTCCAGGCCTCCTCCACCACACATTCCCAGATCAGCTCCTAGCCCATGACAGGTGATACAGCCTGCTCTCCATCACAGCCTCCGCTCCCCACAGCCACGTCCCTGACCCGCTCCCCAGCCAGCCCTCCTCCCCAACCCAGTGACTCTCTCTCTCGGGTCTGGGGCCTGCTAGGCTGGCGCCCCTGGGCCCCTGGCCAGCCTACAGCTCTGAGTCTCAGTGCTCAGAGGCTAGAGTAGACTAGCCTAAGTCTATCAGGCTAGCTTGGATAGATTAGCCTAAGTCCATTCCCCTCATGTCCATGGGCCCCCAGAAAACTAATGGTCATTGTCTTACCCAGAATATTCTGTGTGGTTTAGGGGTTCTGTGACCTTAACCCACATTACCTTAACCTCCCCTCCCCACCACCGGCTGATACAGCTGGGTATTCTTGCTACAAACATGCTCCAGAGTTCTGGTTCCTAAACACCGCCTTGCCGCCAGGCACTGGTCCCCTCACGTCAATGGTCTCATGGTTCCAGGTGATGCTTGGGAATCGGCATTTAGAAAGTGGTGCCTCCTCAGCGCGTCCCTCCAGGCAGCTTTGGGAACTTTAAATGTAAGCAGGGCGGGTGTTCTAGCTCATAAAGATGGTCTGACTCCCTCGCTTCAAGCAGAACAGTCAGTACAGCCTCTAGCTGACCATGAGCCCATCACACATGCAGGGCTGGCCAGAAATCACCTGAGGACAGAGACAGAGCAGGTGGAAGGAAAGCCTCTGCCCTCACAGACTCAAGCCTATCTGGTGAGACAGATGAGGAAGACGTGTGAGCATTTTGAGAGCAAGTGCAAATAACTGTACATTGTTGTTGTTGTTTAGTTGCCGAGTCGTATCTGACTCTCTGTGATCCCATGGACTGTAGCCCGCCGGGCTCCTCTGTCCATGGGATGCTCCAGGCAAGAATACTGGGGTGGGTTGCCATTTCCTTCACCAGAAATGTATCTTACCATTCTGCAAACAGAGGGCATGTGGCTGGCAGGCAGAGCAGAGTGGAGAAAAGCTGTCTGAAGGAGAAAGGAGCAAGAGAGACTCCAGGTTGGGGAGAAGGTCATGTTTACGTGCAAATTGCTGGCCTGTCTGCTTCTGTCACTTAATACAGAGCCACTCCATGGAGAGAGGGGTCCGGCTGGGGTGCAGCTGCCAGGCTGCAGTGGGGGTGGCTTGCATGTCACTGTCTTGAGCAACAGAAACAATTCCCTGTCTGTCTCAGTGATAAACGGGGAATATCTTAAGTGCAGGAGATTGAGGTTGTGACCTGGAAGGTGGCCGGGCGGGGGTAGCACTGGGAGATACTAGAGGCTGTGTCCTGGCACGTGCCCAGCTGGAGGCCGTGTCCCTTTTGCTGCACCTGAACCAACCCTGTCCCAGGTCTCTGAGGCCTTCCAACCATTTGTGTCCCACCCCCTTTTCCAGGAGAGGGTTTTCCCCTCCCCATCCATCCTCACGATGAAGGGCATCTGTGTTTACAGCCAGCCACAGGCTGGAGGGGTGCAGGAGGGATGGGGTGGGGTGGGGTGGTCGCAACTCAGGGTTTCTGAAGCTTGGCTGTTTACCAGAATCCTCTAGGATCCTTGTGAAAAACAGGTTTCTGGGCCCCAACCACAGCTACTGAATCATAACCTCTAGAAGACAGGTTTGTTAAAGAACCAACTCTTTGAATAGGGTGAAGCTGGGAAACCGCAATAAGCCATGCACCCTCTCTTATCCATGAGCCACCCTGCCCACCCTCACCTGAAGGGAACCCCACTCGTGCCTGGGCTTGATGGAAGGCTATATTCTGGAAAAAGAAAAATTTTAATTGTGTCTTTTTGTCTCAAGATCAGTAGTGATAACAATAATTACTAACCTTTATCACCTGTGTGCCAGGCACTATACTGAGCTATTTTTTTTTTCCAGCTGGAATTTTTTTTTTTCTAGTTTAATTGAGAAATAATTGACATATGTCAGTGTCTCGGTTTAAGGTATACAGCGTGATGATCTGTTTTACATATATTGTAAAATGATAGGTTTAGTTAACATCTACCATCTCATAGAGATATAGTGTATTCAATAAAAAGAAAAAAAAATCCTTATGTTGAGAACTCCTAGGATTTACTCTGACAGCTTTCATAGCTGTGTTGGCTACAGTCATTGTGTTGTACTTTACATGCCTAGCATCTATTTATCTATAACTAAATAAATGCTAGGAATTTGAAACTGGAAGTTGGTACCTTTTGGCCAGCTTCATCCAATTCCACCTCCCACTACCACCTTGCCTCTGGTAACCACAAATCTGATCTCTTTTTCTGTGAGTTTCGTGAGGGGTCTTGTTTGGTTTTGTTTTTGTATTTTCTAGATTCCACATATAAATGTGATCGTATGGTATTTGTGTTTCTCTGTCTGACTCCCTTCACTTAGCATAATACCTTCGAGGTTCATCCGCGTTGTTGCAAATAGCAACATTTCCTTCTTCTTTATGGCTAAGTAATATCCCATTGTAGATAATGTATACCACATTTTCTTTATCCATTTATCTGTTCATGGACACTTAGGTTGTCTCTGCATCTTGGCTATTGTGAATAATGTTGCAGTGGACATATCGTTTGGATATATTCCCAGAAGCAGAATTGCTGGGTCGTGTGGTAGTTCTATTTTTAATTTTCTTGAGAAAGCGTCATTTTGTTTTTCACAGTGGCTGCACCAGTTTACATTATTCCCACCAACAGTGCACAAGCGTTCCCTTTTCTCCATGTTTTCGACAACACTTGTCTCTTGTCTTTTTGATGATAGGCATTCTAAAGGGATGAGGTGATACCTTGTGGTTTTGATTTGCATTTCCCTAATGATTAGTGATGGTGAGCATCTTTTAACATATCTGTTAGCAATCTGGATGTCTTCTTTGCAGAAAAGTCTATTTAGGCCTTCTGTTCATTTTATCGTTGGATTATTTGGGATGTTCTTTGTTTTTTTACTGTTGAGTTGTATACATTCTTCGTATATGTTGAAGAATATGTCTTCATATCTTAATCTTTTATCAGATATATGGTTTGCAAATATTTTTTTCCCATTTTGTAGGTTTTTTTACTTTGCTGAGAGTTTACTGTCAGAAGTTTTTAGTTTGATGTTGTCTCACTTCTTTATTTTTTTATTTTGTTGCCTGAGGGCTGAGCTTTTAAAAAATCATTATCACATGTAATCCTCCCAATAACACAATGAAGTGCAAGCTGTCATTGCCCCTATTTCTTCAGCTGGAGAGAAGAAAGAAAGAAAGGAGGTTGAGCAACTTGCCCAAAGGCATGTGCAGAGCTGGGTCAGAACCAGGCTGCTGAGCCTGGGCCCTGAAATGAGTCCCTCACACTCCAGTTGTGAGCTGGCCGGCCCAGTCCCGCCACCACACTGCCACAAGGGAAGGGCAAAGAGCAGGGAGCTGCAGTTGGTCTCAAAGCCCCTGGCGGGTGTGGCAGGTGGAGGAAGGTGAGGACGCTAATGCCCCCTCGTCCGCAGATACTGGAACTCCCTGAGCAACCTGGTGGCGTCCCTGCTGAACTCAGTTCGCTCCATCGCCTCGCTGCTGCTGCTGCTCTTCCTCTTCATCATCATCTTCTCCCTCCTGGGGATGCAGCTCTTCGGGGGGAAGTTCAACTTTGATGAGATGCAGACCCGGAGAAGCACCTTTGACAACTTCCCGCAGTCCCTCCTCACCGTGTTTCAGGTATGGACCCTTCTCTGCCGGATCATGGCCGGGGTGGGGAGGGGCGCAGGAGGCAGGTGCCTGGGGATGGGGGAAGCAGAGAGGAAGGGGCTTCCCACTCCCACGGGACAGCCAAAGCCAGACCAGGTCGGTCACGGGAGCCCAGGAGAGTCTTAAGCTCCCACCCCCAAGCCCCACGGAATTCCACTGTCCGATGGACCCCTGGGGGAAAAAAAAAGAGATCCAACTCAGTGGCTTAAAAATCTGTTTCTTAGCCGTGGAAACCTTTATTCAAATATATTCTACATGAAAGTCCAAAATATCCACAAAAGAGGGCAGGCGGCTCTTGCTGGAGAGGAAAGAGGAGGGGAGGTTGCCCCAGGAAAATACGACCACCATCAAATTTGTGACTTTCGTAGATCTGTTGGCTTGGGGCCAAGTTCAAGTAGCACTGAAGTTTAAAAGGAGATTAGTTTACAGATTAAATTGAACGATAACATGGATGTTGCCAAAATCTTATAGATGGTACCCAAAGTCCTCATGTTTGGGGAAGCCTGGGGGACCACGTGGCTCCTCAGTGAACATGGTCACCTTGATGCCTTAGCCCTAGAGTGGGCTCACGGTGGCCGCCAAGCACTGGGCCTGGACTGTAGGAGGTGTTTATCCCAGGAAGTGCTTACAGTCGATCAATCATTTGTGCCGATGGCCACGCACTCAAAGGAGAGGGCTGGACCTGCAGGATCACAGCTCAGAGCCCCGGGAGGAGATCGGGTGGCAGGAGACAGGGAGAGAAGAGAGGTGTCAGAGGTTTCTATATGGCAGGGGGCCGGGCAGGGGAGCTTCGGGCTTGCTGTTGGTCTAACGCTGTGTCCCTCATTGGTGGGACTATGTCATTCAGATCCTGACCGGGGAGGACTGGAATTCGGTGATGTATGATGGGATCATGGCTTATGGCGGCCCCTCTTTTCCAGGGATGTTAGTCTGTATTTACTTCATCATCCTCTTCATCTGTGGAAATTGTATCCTTTGCGCCTGCCTCCCCCACCCCCTGTTGCCCTCCTAACTTGTAGCTCAATGCCAGTAGGTGCAACCAGTGGGTCCTGACCAGGGGGGACCCAGGGCCACCCTTCCCCAGAGAAGGAAAAGGCACGTGTCCAGCCCAGACCACCTTAGTGATGCAGGCAAGTCAGGATGGGAACCTGGAGCCGGGCCCAGGGGAGATGTGAGTCCATCCCCCTGAGCTGCCGAGGTCCAGGTGGGCAGTGCCCACTGGTGTTGGTCTTGCAGCTGCCCACTCAGACCTCATCGTGAGGCATCTGCTGCCCTGGCCGGGGGCCCTGCTGAGGGAGGAAAAGCCTCACCCCGGAAGTGACCTTCACCTGTTGCCCTCCCTCTGAAGCTGCTCAGGGGGATGTTAGCCACAGGCAGATCAGACAGGCCACGGGCAGGTTCCCAGGTCCCCCACTGCAGGCCGCGCCCCCCTGTTGTGTCCCCCGGGGTTCTGTGCAGAGAGGCTTGTAAAGTAGAATTATAGATGATCTGGACTCAGAGGTCAGCTCTCAGCCTCAGACACACCCAGGGCTGTCCACCTAGTGTCCTGGAAACAGGGTGGAAATGGCAGCACCTCTGACCTAGCGGGCCGAGCGAGGCTGAACTGGGTACCGCACGCCCAGCCCCTGCCCTTGGGAGTGGGGCCCCTCAGCTCCCCGTGTGAACCAGAGCCACCCGGGGCCTGGGGTGGAGGGGGGCCTGACCGGCGTTAACCTCTAGGCTGGACTGGCTCTGATCCGGTTCTCTGACCCATGGTACATGTATCTGAGTCGGGGGCGGGGGAGAAGAAACGGCAGACTCCGCTCAGTCAGAAGCCCGGCTGACCCTCCTGGGGCCTCTGTCTGAACAAGGTCATGGCGGGAGTGGGCAGGGTGAGCGGGCACCTCCTGGTGGTGGTAATGACCGCCCAGTGCCATGACCCGCTGGAGGCAGCGCTGTTTACAGTGTCACTTGCAGGCAGTCGTCTCTGTGGGAAGCAGCATCGAAACCCAGCAATTAGAACAAGACTGGGCTCCCTGCCTTCCAACCCCAGACCCGGCCTGCAAGCCCACCTGCTCCGGATCCCCCAGGAAACCCCAGGAAGCTAGGAGGGCGGTGCAGAGGGAGACGGGGGCTCAGTGGGCTTGGAACTCCTCCCCGTGGGGAACTCGGCCGCTGCACGTCCTGTTCTGGCCCGGCCCCTGTGCCCACCCACCACCCCAAGTCCAAGGGTCATTTTCTTTAAGAATGGACGCAAACAGATATCCTACTGAACGTGTTCTTGGCCATTGCTGTGGACAACCTGGCTGACGCCGAGAGCCTCACGTCTGCCCAGAAGGAGGAGGAAGAGGAGAAGGAGAGGAAGAAGCTGGCCAGGTAACTGCGAGGCCCCTGGGCCAAGCGCGGCCCGGCTCCCAGATGCTGCTCCCGTTAGTGCTCAGGAGAGGCTAGGCCTGCCCGGCTGTCCTTCTAGACGGGATTAGGTGGGGGCCCCTAATTAGGTGAGCTGGGCCTCTTCCCTATTCCTGGACATCGCTGTAAGTGAGGAGCACCGTGAATTACATCCCTGGGGAGGTGTCGTGTTTCCCCACGGGTCCAGGAGTTGGGGGACTCTCTTTTGAGAAGAGGGTCATGACAGATGATGGGAGCAGAGGATGGGATGGGAGGGCAGCCAGTCGGAGGAGAACCTGGAAAGATGATGCCTCCTCACTGTTCTGTAGCTCATCTCTGCTGATGAACAGACAAGACAGGACCCCACGCCGTCCTCGTACGTGTTCCGATGGACGGTCTGGGCCACATCTGTGCCGGATACTGAGCAGGCTCTCAGGAACCTTTGAATTAGACAGAGGCTAAGTTGGGGAGAAGTTGGGCATTCAGCTGAGTGCTAGACAGAGCCGAGCAGGGGCAGAGACCCGGGAAGGACAGAGCCAGGGGGAGGCCCAGTGCCCCAAGGATTGAGCCACACAGCAGGGCCCCCAGAAGACAGGTGGTCCCAGGCCCCAGCAGTCTGGACCCCAAAGGACCACAAGGGCAGCACCCTATTACTCTGGTCAACATCCCTTGCTCTTCTCTCCTGCTGACCCGCCAGGACCGCCAGCCCAGAGAAGAAGCAAGAGGTGGTAGAGAAGCCGGCCGTGGAGGAGACCAAGGAGGAGAAAATCGAGCTGAAATCCATCACAGCAGATGGAGAGTCCCCACCCCCCACCAAGGTACAGGCTGCTCTGCCCAGGAGCCGGGGTGGGGAGGGGGGTAGGGAGAAGGAGGGGGTCGGCCGTGCTGGGTGGGCTGCTCTGCCCAGAAGCTAGACACCGAGGGGGAGGGGGACATAGAGGCCAGAGGAGGGGGACAGAGCCGGGGCGGGTGGACAGCAGTGCTGGGTGGGCATGCAGAGGAGGAAGGCCAGCCTTCTGCTGGTGTTCTAAGGGTCATGTACAAAGGAACAGTTCAGCCTAGACTCGGGGGCTATTTCAAGCCTACTGGAGGCCTCTAAACCATGGATCTTATCTAACCGGACCCTCCTTCTCTCCCTTGACTGCCTAGATCAACATGGATGACCTCCAGCCCAACGAGAATGAGGACAAGAGTTCCTACCCCAACCAGGAAACCACAGGTACCAGCCCGCTGCCTGGCCTGGGGGAGGTGGTAGAGGAGAATGGGGGTGAACACCTGGCTCTAAAGCTGTGTATTGGTCCCAGTTTCCCCACAAGCGGGGGCCTCATTCAATCCCCCAACTCAGCTGTAGCATCACGGTTTATCCTCTGGGGGAAAACTTTGCTCAATTATTACTGTGATAATAATAACAGAAGACTGAACACATTGTGTTGGAGCAGTGCCTTTGGGCCTTTTGGAAGCTGGATTCCATATACATGTAAGGTTTATTATAGCCTATGTTGTAAAATCGCTATTAAGTTACATAACTTATTAGGATAACATATGTCGCAGCATCTTGCTTGGTTAATAATAATAGTAAATCCCGAATCTGTCCTGCCCGCTCCCGGGAGGGGGTGCTGAGCGCAGCAGGGCTCCGCTGCAGACGCCTGCTCACGGCTCTGAACGACGCTGTCGGGTCTCCCTCAACAAGAACTTCCTGTCTGCGGTCTGATCTGCAAACTGGCAGGCGGGCTCCTGGAGAGGGTCTCTCGTCAGGAGCCCATCCACCCTCAGGAGCCAGTCCCCTGCATCAGGACACCACACCCTGCATGAGCCTGGCCTGCCCTCCTTCTGCCGAAAATTGTGGGTATCATCACCTGCTTCAGGCTCAAAGTCACAACAGACCATCATGGCGCTACAGGTCTCGCCGACACAGGTCCCCGCGCAGACTGGTCTGTGTGGGGGCATAGCTCCCTCAGAAGCTGGACTGCGCCCAGCCTCCTTTCTCCTGTCCCTCCACAGTCTGTCCTCTGGGAAAGAGGACTTGGCTTCCTGGGGCTCAGACAGAAAGGAGGGCGGAAAGGTGTCCCTGAGCCTGCATCCAGCCTTTTGAAGACTTTACAGCCCCTGGGGCAGAAACCGTTACAGAATTTCAAAGACACACCAGAAATAGCCACTGAATACAGTAGGCGGGTCTTGTCTTGATCCTGAATGAGCAAATAAACTTTAAAATGATATTTTTGAGGCAGTCAGGGAAAACTGAATATGGGCAAGGAGCTAACTGATGTTAAGAAGGTTTTGTTCATCACGGGACCCCCTGCAGGAGGTGCCGGTTCCTAGTCCCCATGAAGCGACCACACTGCCCAGCAGGGGCCTGTCAGGCCTCCCCCCGAAATTTAATCTCCAGAGTTCAAGGTCAGCGGAGCCCCCAGCTCTGTACACACCACATTTCAGAAACATCGCCTCACTCAGGAGGAAAGCTTTGTGCTGAGATGGGCTTTTATCTGCTTGATTCATGTATGCGTGTGAACACACAGATGTTCTTGAAGAGTCACGCAGGACTTAAAATTAATAACTGCACATGAGAAGGAAATGTGATGACCCCAGGGAACATGTAGCTCAGTCCAGATGCGGTGAGGGAGGCCTGGGCTGTTGCGGGGACTCTAGGAGGTGAGCAGTGAGGTAGCGGCTTCATGGAGCAGGGTGGTCCGCACTAGGTCTGCAGTTCCGGGAGTTGGAGAGGAAAGAAGTGACTTCTGGACCATTCAGTTGTCACGGATACAGAGCTGGATGAAACCAGGGAGACATCCACTCGTTGATTTAATCGCTGCTTATAAAGCACCTACAGTGTTCCTCGCCCTGGACAGGCACTGGGGGCTCAGCCATGGGGGCAGATAAGCTGCTGTTGCGGGGGGCCCACATTCAGCGGGAGGCAGACAAGAAGCAAGAAAGCAAACCAACCAGAAAGCTAATGTCAGGGAAATCATAAAACCATGCCCTGCCTTCAAGTTATGGACACAGCTGTCTGCGGAGAAGCCTGGGGAGGTCAGAGCAAGAGAAATGGAGGGGGTGGGACATGAGCAGGTGGGGCGGCCCCGAAGGCCACCCGTCCTTTCCCCTGGCCTGCAGCCAGCCAGCTGAGGACACCTGGCCATGCCCCCATCTCACCTGGTTGCCTTTCTGGTGTCTGACCACTAGGATGACCAGCCACCCCAATCTGCAGGGCCCTGAGGGTTTCCCAGGATGTGGGGATTTCTGTTTAAAAAGCAGGACAGGAGTTGAGCTGGTCACCCGACTCACAGCCCGGTGTCCTGTGCTGCCAGGAGGCTTCCTCCAGCAGAGATGAGCCCCAGAGGTGCCCACGGGAGAGAGCTGGCCGTCCTAGCTGGTCCCCTGTGTTTCCAGAGATACCGATGATGTCTGATTCCTGTCTGTAGGAAGGTGTCTGGAAGTGGGCAGCATGGTGGTAAAAATAAGTGGGAGCCATGGAGCTATTTAGGACGGTGCTTTTTTTCCTGCAGGAGAAGAAGATGAGGAGGAGCCCGAGATGCCTGTGGGCCCCCGCCCGCGCCCCCTCTCTGAGCTGCACCTGAAGGAGAAGGCGGTGCCCATGCCGGAAGCCAGCGCCTTCTTCATCTTCAGCCCCAGCAACAGGTGTGTGGACAGGGGCGGGGCTCCACTCTCTCCGTGATGCCAGCCCAGCAGGCATCAGCGTCGTCCAGCCCCTACCCCAGTGCGCCCCACAACTTGTGTAAACAGGCATGGGTTTAGAGGAGAGAGTCCTGGATTATAAATCAGAAGACCTGTGTTTTGTTTTTCTTTCCATTGTTTGAAATAGGTAAACTCTGTTTCTACTCTGTTGGTGATTGCATTTAACTTAACAACCCCTAAAGTTAAACAAGATCCTAAAGCTTCTGCAAAATTGAAGGAAGTAAACAGCTAGACTACATCAACTTCTCCCAGCTCACCCCACCTTAGGTGTTGTGGTTGATAAGTAATTTGATCCCGACCTTTATTTCCAACCTAACAAATTAGATATGATTACCTGGTAGACAGGGTGTGTTTGGATTTACATACCACTTACCATTCTATTTGTTTGATTTTCACCTATCTTGGTCCATCTTTCAGGAATCATTTTCTTTCCTCCTGAAGTATATTCTTTAGAAGTCCTTTAATGGCAACTTCATTTTACCTCCGTTTATCTGTAATTGCTTTCATTTCTTGTTCTTGAAAGACAGTTGTGCTGTGTGCACACTTTCAGGCAGACAGGTTGTGGCCCTCGGCATCTTAGGCATGTCACTCCACATTCAGTCGGAATCCCCGCTCTCGTTTCTCTGTAGCGTTCTGCCCCTTGTCTCACTCTTTTAACATCATCCTTGGTCTCTGGGGTTGTATATGTTCACTACCACATGTTTCTCTCCATTTATCCTGCTTGGAATATATTATGTCTCCTAAGTATATGGATTTGTATTTTTTTGTCAGTTCTTGGATTAGGATAAGAACAGCTACTTCCGGGGGAGTTGCAGGAGAGTCTATTTACACATTGCCAGGTCTTCCTTCTCTCAGGCTGGTCCAAGTGGACACCTGATAGGCCTGCATATTCTGTCCTTCCCCTCTCACGCGTGCATGTCTTCATAACTTTCATCTCCTAGTCTCTCGGTTCAAATTCTGGGTCATTCTTTGGACATATCTCCCAAATTCTTAATTCTCTCTTCAATCCTATCTATGTTACTGTGTAAACCTATATATTTTTTCATGTCAGACAGTTCCAAGTATTGCTTTGTTTTCCAGATCCATCTACATCTGAGTTTCTTGTTAATTCGTCATCTTTGTGGTCAAGTCTTTTATCCCATTAAATATTTCAAATACAGTTGTTCTATCATCGGTATCTAATATTTCCAGTATACAGAGTCTCTGGGGAGAGGTCTAAATCATTTATTTGAGTTTCTTCTGATTTGCCAACTTAGTGGCTTATTTTCTTGAGTGTTCAGTGATCTTTGTGACCTCAATACTCCATCTTAATTGGGGAGATTCCCGGGGACCTGAAGAAGGACTGAGAAGCTTTCTTCCAGATGTGTGCGTGGCTCAGCCTAGGGGTCCCCGGTCCTCTGCCCCACCTCGAGCTGGCTTAAAGATTCCTCACAGAGGTGCTGCCACTGGCCTCTCTCCTCAGGCACCTCTGCCCAGCCCGGGCATGTCCAGCAGACCCCAGCTCAGCGGATTGGCTTGAGGGAGGAGGGGGTCACTGCAGACTTTCCTAGCTCTCATGAAACCAGAATGGTCTTGGAGAGCTCGTCCTTTCCAGGATTTGGTGCTTCCACATCAGGAAGGTCTCTCAGGGGATTTAGTCAACCAACACCAGAAGCAGAGGTCTGAAGGCCTGGTTCAAGCCCTGAGCCACCCCACGCCCCTCCCCACACAAACACACACTCCAAAGTGGGCAAGACTATCCTTCCGGGCTTCCATGTTTTCATCTGTAAGATGAAATAGTACCCCATCAAGAGGAGACAGTGCATAAGATACCTTTGGCATCCGAGGATCCACTGTGAGCGCCCCCGGGGTCAGGGCTGTTGGCCTCTGTCACTGCGCTGAGACTCAGGATTGAATTACTGCTGTGGCAGCCAATCTCTTCGGAGTCTGGACTTAACCAGCCTGGCATCATCCACGCTCTGGGTGGCTCTGCTGCTCCCCGTACAGACACAAGTGAAGTAGATCTTATGAAGTCAGTATTTTTAATGATGGGGAGCCGAGTCCCCAGACGAAAGCTCGTGAATGATGTCACAGCAGTACATGAAGATGCAGAGGTTCCTGAAGGGTCGGACATAACCCCGAGGCCCCGTGGTGGGGGGCACAGTGGGGCCGAGTGCGGGGCTGTGTCTCCCCTGTGGCGGGATGGCTCGGGCTGAAGGGCCCACGCCCCGCCGGTCTGCACACCGTTTGCACACCAAGAAGGAGCAAAGACCCCATCCTGTGTGACAGCCCCCCTCCCCCTGCCCCCGCAGGTTCCGCCTCCAGTGCCATCGTATCGTCAATGACTCCATCTTCACCAACCTGATCCTCTTCTTCATCCTGCTCAGCAGCATCTCCCTGGCCGCCGAGGACCCCGTGCAGCACACCTCCTTCAGGAACCACGTACGCACCTTGTCCCCCGCACCCGCCCCCGCAACGTGACCACCCCCCCCCGGCTGCCTGACCCTGTCCTTCAATCCAGAGCCTGCCCCGAATCTCACTGTCAGAGGCACAGCAGACATCTCCCTAAGAGATGACAGCTTTGGTGCAAACCCATCTTAGGACCCTTAGCTCAGGTCGGCCTGACCCCGACGTCAGACCCCACTGCCCACAGATGCTCCCCAGGGGCTTCGCCTCCCGGGAACTGGCCCATCCTGTCCCTGGGGATCAGTGGCAGATGGCACTCTGATGAGACCGCCCGCATAAGGAGGACCTCACTGACCCTCTGCAGAGTTGAAATTGAATTTGGAGCTTGCCTCAGGCTCTGGTGAACTATAATCAAAGACCAGAGTAGGACCTGCCATATCCCAAAGCCTTGAAACAATGTCAGATCCTAACCAGGCGGACGTGAAGCGAGGAGTCCACCACCTTAAAGCCAGACCCCTGCGAGCCAGTCGGTGGTCCTGCAGCCCAGGTGACCCACAGCCTTCTTCCTGGGAAGGTCCTCGCTCTGACCCATTACCTGAGACAGAGTGAAGCGTGAACCCCGAGCCTGTCCCCTGCCGGGGGTGTGCCTGCCACACCCTGAGGGGCACAGCCAGAGTAGGGTCGCAGAACGTGAGAGACTGGCTCATCCCCTGATGTGAATTAAGCAATTTGCATGTTTGTGCAAAGAAAGCAAACCCCACTCTGTCTTTGAGACACGTATCCCATGGTCTGATTTTGGTTTGTAAGTAAATTGAATTAATGAGAAAGCACCCAACCGGACCCAGGACCCGCTGAGTCGGCTCTGGGAGCCCACTCACAGATCTGGGGCCTTCAGGACCCTGGGCTGTGTTGATGCCTCTGGTCTCCCTTGGAAAGACTGCATGATTTGGGGTGCGACTCCCTGCTGGCGACCCTGCTCCCATCCTGTTGCTCCATTCCCCCATCCCCACCCTGTTTCTCTTTGTTTTGCAGATTCTATTTTATTTTGACATTGTTTTCACTACCATTTTCACCATTGAGATTGCCCTGAAGGTAACCCTGCCCTCTGCTCCTCTCCTGTCCTTCCCCACTGGCTCTGCTGCTGTCGCTAATGCACACTCTGCTGCTGTCCGTCACTCGGAGCCACTAATCCGCTGTGCTTGTCTTTCAGATCCTAGGCAACGCAGACTATGTCTTCACTAGTATCTTTACCTTAGAAATTATCCTCAAGGTAATGCACGCAGCAAGGCCTTTGCCTCCTCTCTCTGCATTGCCTCTTCTCTCTGGTTTCCTTCATTCTGGTTTTACTCTCAAGCCTGAAGCTGGAGAAACTGGGGCCCCTGACTTTGTGCCTGTGCAGTTTGGGCACTGATGCTGGCTGATACCAGGCACTCCCCACCACCGCCTGCTCCCCCAGTCCACCTCTGCGAGCCACGCCTGACCCCGGCAGGAACCCTCCCCCTATCCTGCCCAGAGGGAACGCCACACGAAGGACAAGAGTCAGAAAATGGCAAAGCCCAGGGCGTCAAGAGGCCCCCTGCCTGTGCCCTCGGGATGCCCTTTGTCAACACAGGCCAATGCCAGTGTTCCAGCTGAGGACTCTGGACAGACCCCTGCACACACCTCTGACCCCTGGACTACACCCCCGCCAAAGCTTGCCCCCTCGCCCCTGCCCAGGCCTGGAGGAGGCGGCCATGTCCTCCAAGGCCCAGTGCGGGGCTAAGAGTCACACGCACTCCCATCTTTTGACCCCAACACAGTAGAGCCTGCCTCTGAGCAGCCTCAGGATGACAGGGGTTTGCCCCAAGCTTTATTATTGTTTCCATTAATATACAATCAGTGGGGCTCCCCAGGTGGCACTGGTGGTAAAGAACCCGCCTGCCATAATGCAGGATTGGATCCCTGGATTGGGAAGATACCTGGAGAAGGGAATGGCTACCCACTCCAAGATTCTTGCTGGAGAATCCCGTGGACAGAGGAGCCTGGCTACAGGCTCCTTGGGGTCGCAAAGAGTCAGACATGACTGAGTGACTTAGCACAGCACAATATATTACTTACATCCACTCTGTTAGATTTCCAAGCTCTGCAGGTCACCTGAGCCTCGGGGGCAAGTTCCAAGTCAGGGGAGTGTGTATTGTCCACTCTTTGGTCTCAGAGCCTGGGGCTCACCCTGACCGCAGTCAGCAAGCTGCCTCTGCACAGTGCCTCCCACCGGGAGACCACCCCGGGCACCCTCCCCCAGGCTCCGGGCTCCTCCCACCCTGCACATGAAGCCCCAGACCCTCCTTCCTGGGCTCCTATGGGTGGGGACAGCCTGTCACGTCCAGCTTCAGCCTGAGCGGACACTTTCTCGTGCCTTCTGTGTCCAGACCCTCTGGTTCCAGCTAACCAGGCGTTAACAAGAGGAAACCAGAAGTGTTCCTCGGGTTTTCTCTCTGACCCCCGGGGGTAGGGAGAGGGACCAGGCTGCCCGGCTACATGGAGACCCTTCCCTGGACTCCAGGCCCAGGGAGGCACCCAAACACCAGGCTCTCCTGAGTCTCAGACCCTCCCCAGAGCGCCTCTTCCTCCAAGGTTGCCAGCTCCTGGGAGGTCCTCCATCCCGCCCACCTGCTCCTTCTTCTGCCCACTTTTACGCTGACTGTGCTCTAGGTTGAGCCTGGCCCCAGAACACTGCCTGCACCTCCTCCCCCAGGGTCCCTCTGCCTCACCTGCAGGCCCAGCATCCTGCCTGACAGAGGTGACTGTCGTGCAGGAGAGGTGTCCAGGGTCAGAGACAGCTGAAAGGTCTGGGCATGTTTAGCCTTCTGAGGCCAAGACAGTTGGACTGAATGATGCCTAGATCTGTCACCGAGAGGAGGGAGATGGACCCAGGACCCACAAGCAGAAATTACAAAAGATAAGATGTGTTTAATGAGCAATATTGCTGCCTGGAGAGGTGCTGGCTGGACAGAGGGGCATCCTCCACTCCCAGCTCATAGTTCGATCCTTTTCTCTCCCCAGCAAGGCTTTTTCTGGGTAAAGGTTAGGACTTCGGGAGCAGGAGTGTGTGGCAGTCAGCAGGCAGGGTAGAGGGGGCCCTATATTGGACCGCACAGTGAACTCTCAAGTAAATGCCCCATTTTTCCAGTGTCCACTTGCCCTTTCTCCTGTGGCCACTCTTCCTCTGGCCCTGCCTGGGCAGCCGCCCTGCACAGACACACCCACAAGCCGGCCTTCTGGGCTCAGAGCCTCTCAGTTAACATGAGCCATGGAGCCACCCCAGTCTGCTCTCGGGGGCCCAGACCTACACTGAGAGACAAGGAAGCCCCCCACCCCAAGATTACAGGCCTTTGGGACACATCTCCAGCTGAATTCCCCTGCAATCTTTTATATAATCTACCCACTTCTGCAAACTGTTGCAGGACACAGGTGTCTGAGTCCCCTGTGACCCCCTCCTGCAGGAGATCAGTGGGAAGAATTAGGTTGCAAGAGCTATTTTTGCCCATTTCCCCTGTGTTTGCTTTTGACTCACTCTGTGAACAAGCTGCCCTGGGCATGCTCTGATTCCAAAGAAATAAATTGGGCTTCCAGGCAACTGGGGAGCTGCTCCCAGTTGATGGCTCTAAGCCATCAGCTCCAGATTTTCCCCTCTGGCTGTTGTTCATGGTCATGGCCTTTCAGCTCTTCACCTGGAAATCCACTGGCCCTTAGTTCATGTCAACGAGACTGGACAGGAGTTCCTAGAGCGAGGACAGGGCTCTGAGGAAGGTGGGGGACAGCAAACCCACGACAGTCATCACCCCCAAAGTGGTCCCTTCCTAGTGTGCAAGGGGCTTTTGCATGGTTCTGTAGCTGCCTCTACAGAGGGGAACTCTGAGCACCCTTATCACAGGACGAACCCAGAGTTCCTGTCGTAGCTATCTGTGAGTCCAGTCCTCTGTAGTGAAGCTCCCCTGCAGAGCTTGACATCTGCAGGATTATGTCTAAAGGGCTTTACTCTAACTCCCAAGGGCACTTACAACCCTCCAGGGAAGAGGTTGTCATCACCTCGTTTCTCTGTCGAAACACAGGGAAGTTGAGTAACCAGCTCCAGGCACTCAGAGCGTGGCGGGTGGGATTTGAACTCAGGCGGCCAGGCTCCAGAGCTGTGCTCACACAGCAGTGCCCACAGCCCCTCTGGACACACAGCTCCAGAACCGGATGGTGGAGCGGAGCTCAAATCCTGGGCGCAGACCAGCAGCACTTGTGAGGCCCGGGAAGGGATAGATGCTGGTCGCCAGCATTCCTGGTAACAGTGAGAAAAAAATAGAGCTTGCCCGAGCCTGAGGGGTTACCTGGGGCTCAACCAGGGAAGTTCTGGGAAGCCAAGGAGCTGGTCCTCGACTGGGCGAGCCCCCACCTCCCCCAGATGCCCATGTCCTGGGGGCCCTGAGGTGGAGAGAGTTTGGAGAGGCATGGGACCCCAAGAACACGGCGCTCAGCTCAGGGAGCATCGGCAAGGGGCCTCACGGGGCTGTTGTCACAGAAACGTGACAAGGGGCGGGGGCCCTTCTGTTGTCACAGAAACGTGATGAGGGGCGGGGGCCCTTGAAAGGGCTGCAGATACAGGACTGAAGGTGGCGGGCATGTCCTGGGCATGAGCCTCTGGGCTTTGCATCACTGGCAGCGGACACTTTCCAGGCACAGCGTCTCCTCCTATCCTACCAGCCTCAGCCCTCCATCACCTCCTGGTTCTTCATCTGGGCCCTTCTGGGAGTGCTGTGGGAGGGAAGGGTGGGGTGAAGGGTCTTTGGAGCCCGGAAACTGCTCACACCCCGATCCCTGCACCCCCAGATGACAGCCTACGGGGCCTTCCTGCACAAGGGCTCCTTCTGCCGCAACTACTTCAACATCCTGGACCTGCTGGTGGTCAGCGTGTCCCTCATCTCCTTCGGCATCCAGTGAGTGGGGCCCGAGGGCCTGGGAGAGGCACGGGGCAAGGGAGAGGGTCGGAGAGGGAGAGGCCTGCCTGTGTCCACAGTAGCGTGAGGGCGCTGGGACCAGGGCAGGGCCTCCCTGGTGGCTGTGGGCCCAAGGAGGCTAGAGACCTTTGGAAGGTAACTAGCAGGCGAGGGTGGGGGACACTTCAGAGCGACCCCCATCCCCCAGGGCGAGGCCCTGTATGCCCCTGGAGGACGACCGTGGTCTGTCCTCCCCTGGGGAGGGGGCCTGGCCCTGGCGCCCCAGGTGTGCAGAGTCTGTGGTGTCAGAGCCGTTCCTCCAGGCCTGAATGTCCTGTGCACAAAGGGATGTGGTGGGCGGCCACCGGGGACCAGGCTTGGAGGTGGGGACCAGGTGCCTCCCCCGCCGAAGCCCCGCCATTCATACAGTATTTCTTCAAGTCCATGATATGAAAAACCACCACGGGTTCAGGTTACAACAGGCACTGCATGGGATGCCAGACGGTTCATGTGCATTTTCTCTTTTGATCCTTGCAACAAGCTCATGAGGTGATCACTGCCCCGTTTTACAGATAAAGAAACTGGGGCTCAGAACAGTTAGGAAGTGTATCCTCCGTGGCCAGAGTCTGGTGGAGCTCTGCCTCTCTACAGCCCCTTGGCTGGGTAAATGCCCCAGAGCAGCACATTGTAATGCTAACAACAAGTGGTAAATTCTTTTCCTGTAATTTGCTCACCAAGTCCCTGGCTCCCAGGATAGCTCCAGGTCCCTGCAGGTGGGAGACTTTCTCCAGGACTCCCATGCTCTTCCCTCACTCCTGCGGGCCCAGGAACAGGAGTGGTTCACCCCACCATCCATTCCCCCAGGTCCAGTGCCATCAACGTGGTGAAGATCCTGCGAGTCCTGAGGGTGCTTCGGCCACTGAGGGCCATCAACAGGGCCAAGGGCCTGAAGGTGAGTCGACCAGGCCTGAGCAGGGGCCCCCAGCCCAGCAAGCTTCAGCCAGGGGTCCATATGAGGTGATGGGTGGACAGGAGGCGGGGACAATGGCAGGCCCTCCGGGTTGGAACCAGGACCCTCCTACCAGCACCTCAGGACCACTTCATATTCTGGTTCCGAGATGCATGGAGCCCCAGTAGAGGCCGCCGTTCACAATCCCAGCTTCTCAGCAAAGCTTTTGCAGAAGGAGACCACATACAACCTTGGGCCCTGTGCAGTGATGAGGCCCCTGAATCGCTGCCCCAGAGTTTGGGGTGTTAGCGGGGCTTTGGTCCCCGGGTCACCCAGCAGGATATGGGCCCCCCAGGCTCCATCACCCTGTGAGCTGGGAGCACGCTTTGCCCCTTTGAGTCTGATCCCCACCACCCCCAGCCCATAGTGAAGGGCTGCCCCGCCCCCTCAGAAAGGGCCGTGACATGGGGGAACTCAGCCAAGGCCAGGCCCTGACCCCACTGTCTCGCCCCCACAGCACGTCGTGCAGTGTGTGTTCGTGGCCATCCGCACCATCGGGAACATTGTGATCGTCACCACGCTGCTCCAGTTCATGTTTGCCTGCATTGGGGTCCAGCTCTTCAAGGTGGGGTCTCAGCCAGATCTGCAGTCCCCTGTTCTTCCCACCTATCAGCTCCCAGGGACACGGACGGGAGCGGCCACGGGGGACCCGGTGGGGATCACTGGGGAGGGACGAGGCTGCTCCACCGCCCCTCCTGTCTTTCAGACCCAAGGAGGACTAACCAGTTCCCAGACCAGAGCAGAGCTAGTTTCCAGACCTGAGGAGGACTAACTAGTCCCCAGATCCCAGGAAGACTAACTAGCTTCCAGACCCAAAGGCTAACTGGTTCCCAAACCCAAGGAAAACTAACTAGTTCACAGATACAAGGGGGACTAGTTCCCAGATCCCATGATGACTAACTAGCTCCCAGACCCAAAGAAGACTAAGTAGTTCCCAAACCCGAGGAGGACTAAAAAGTTTTCAGACCAGAAAAGAACTAGTTCCCAAACCCAAGGAAGATTAACTAGTTCCCAGACTCAAGGAGGACTAACTAATTCCCAGACCAGAGAAGTACTAGTTCTCAGACATGAAGAGGACTAACTACTTGCCAAACCAGAGAAGGACTAACTAGTTCTCAGACCAGAGAAGGACTAATTCTCAGCCTGGAGGAACACTAGTTGCCAGACTGGAGAAGGGCTAGTTCCCAGACCAGAGCAGGACTAACTAGTTCCCAGCCCAGAAGAGGACTAGTTTCCAGCTCAGAGGAGGACTAACTAGTTCCCAGCCCAGAGGAAGACTAGTTCCCAGCCTGGAGGAGGCCTAGTTCCCAGACAAGAGCAGGGCTAGATCCCAGCCCGGAGGAGGACTAGTTCCCAGCCCAGAGGAGGACTAACTAGTTCCCAGACCAGAGCAGGGCTAGATCCCAGCCCGGAGGAGGACTAGTTCCCAGCCTGGAGGAGGACTTACTAGTTCCAGACCAGAGCAGGGCTAGTTCCCAGCCCAGGGGAGGACTAACTAGCTCCCAGACCAAAGTGGTACTAGCTAGTTCCCAGTCCAGAGCAGGGCTAGTTCGCAGCCCCGAGGAGGCCAGTGTGTAGGCAGTGCCGCTCCACCACCACCCGGCCCTCCGATCGTGGCGGCCCTCAGCCCTGCCCTCCCTACTGGAGGAAGGCAGAGGGGCTGTCATCCCTGACCCTGCTGTGTGGTCGCCCACCTAGACCTGCGGGGCTCCCTGTGACCAGCGGCACGAGTCCCCCACCCAGCTGGCTGCAGAGCCGTGGTTTGCCAGGTCCTCGCCCTGTGTCTGGCAGGCCCTCGGTGAGGCCACGTCCCTGGTCCTCCCTTTCCTGCCCAGTCCTTCTCTCTCTGCTCTTCTCCACCTGAAGCTCTGCCCCCACCATGCACACGGGCCCCGCTTTCCCCACCAAGTTTTCAACCTAAGTCCAGCCATCCTCCTCCCTCACCAGACCTGCCTCCCGAGCTCTGCTTCACCCCTGGGTTCCCTGTGATGGGGTCCCCGCGGCACGGCGCGTTTTCTGTCTGGGCTCTGCTCGCCTCACTCTTCTCTCCCAAGACTCCAGCATAGAGCCGGCTGCAGATATAATCACTAGACAGTTTTTGACCGACTCCTCGATTCAGAAACCTCTCCATCACTGTGCTCTTCCGCCTTCCAGGGCAAGCTCTACACCTGTTCGGACAGTTCCAAACAGACAGAAGCTGAATGCAAGTGAGTGCGGCGGGGACAGTCAGGCCAGCTGACTCTGGGTGGGTGAGGCTTGTCCTGAGAGAAGGGGTATCCCGTTCTGCCTCCAGCAGCAGTGGCAGCTGGAATTTACCCATGGGTTGTCTGGTCCTGTTGACATAGCACATGAGATCATCTATCCCTGAGGTCTGCTCAGTGGCCAGAACTGTGGGTTTAAGCTCAGCCATCCCATCCCGCCCCTAAGCCAGGAGTCACAGGTGGTTGGGAGATGGGAAACCCCAGAATGAACCGTCTCCCTTCCGCAGGGGGAACTACATCACGTACAAGGATGGGGAGGTGGACCACCCCATCATTCAGCCCCGCAGCTGGGAGAACAGCAAGTTCGACTTCGACAATGTCCTGGCCGCCATGATGGCCCTGTTCACCGTCTCCACCTTCGAGGGATGGCCAGAGTAAGTACGCAGACCCTGGCCTGTCTCACTGGTGTCCACACTCCTTTCAGAAACCATATTTACCTCCATCCTCCCTAGGTGGTGAGGGTGTTTCTAGAACAAGCTGAAGGCCATGCGTGATAAGTCACTTCAGTTGTGTCCAACTCTTTGAGACCCTATAGACTGTAACCCACCAAGCTCCTCTGTCAATGGGATTCTCCCGGCAAGAACACTGGTGTATTCTCTTCTCCAGGGGACCTTCCCAACCAAGGGATCGAACCCAAGTCTCTTACATCTCCTGCATTGGCAGGCAGGTTCTTTACCACTAGTGCCACCTGGGAAGCCCAGACACAGGCTACCTGAGTGTAAACCAAACCACTGCTGATGGTCTGAGCGAGCCTGGGCATTTATATTGAGTGCTTTTATCTAAATGAATATCTGTCCTCAGATTGATCTTATGTTCACTGCAACATTCTCCAAGTCTCTGCTGAGAAACAACAGAGCTGTATTAATATTTACCAATATCTCCAGCTTTTTAGATCAATGCCCATGACTCGCATTACATTAGACAGTTCTTACCAGTTTCAAAACACCTTCATATTCATTATATCAGCTGTCCTGCCAGGTAGGAAAATCTGGAACTACTGTTCACACTTTTCAGATAAGGAATCTGATGCTCAGAGAGGTTGAATGATTTGCCCGAGCCACACAGTAGTAAGAGACAGAGCTGGGGCTTGAACCAGCTCCCTGGCCCTGTGCGGGCCTGTCTCCCTGCCTCCAGGTTGCTGTACCGGTCCATCGACTCTCACACAGAGGACAAGGGTCCCATATACAACTACCGCGTGGAGATCTCCGTCTTCTTCATCATCTACATCATCATCATTGCCTTCTTCATGATGAACATCTTCGTGGGTTTCGTCATTGTCACCTTCCAGGAGCAGGGGGAGCAAGAGTACAAGAACTGCGAGCTGGACAAGAACCAGGTAGCCCCCACCCCCCAGAGGGTGAGAGGCCAGGTGGTCAGGAGGCTGAAGCCTGTGAAAGCACCCCCTCTTCAGAGAACCTGAGCTCTGCTTAGGAAAGGAACTCCCCCCAAGTCCCTGTCAGGTTCTCTGGGCCCCTGGTCCACACCTTGGCTCTAGACTCACCATTCTGGCTGCTGTGTGGACTTCACATGGTAAGGAAGCCAGGGAAGAGGGAAGCCAGTTAGTGTAGAGGAGCGGTGCTTAGACCCTTATGTATTACAAGGTTGATGACAGTAGAGACGGAGCAAATATACTGGTCGGGTTTAGAGGCTGGAAGTGGAGGCTGGAGGAGAGAGGAGGGCTTGGGTGAGCCCCGTCCTGACCTGGGGTCCGGGCACAGCGCAGAGGTAACCAGAGTCTAGTCAACCCAGGATCCCACCCCTTGGCTGCGAGCTATGACTTCTGGTCTGTGGACACTGGTAGCTAAGACAACTGACTCAGGATGGGAAAGGAGAATCGCGGAGACACGGGCCTCCAAGAGAGTCTATGGCTGGAAATATCTGAGAAGACGGACTGTCAGTCAGTCAGCAAGCATTTACCAACCATCCCCGAGAGGGAAGGAAGGAGACAGGTCCCCCTCAACTACATCCTGATGGGGACCAACCAGAGAGTATTCTCCCTCCTTAGGGGAATGATAGAACCTCAAAAAACGTCCAAGTAATAGCTGATTCAAACTGTGAAACCGCTCCCATCTACCCTAGCGGCAGTGCCTGGAGTACCCCCATCATCCGGGTTACTAACCCCTCCCGTCTACCCTAGCGGCAGTGTGTGGAGTACGCCCTCAAGGCCCGGCCCCTGCGGAGGTACATCCCAAAAAACCAGCACCAGTACAAGGTGTGGTACGTGGTCAACTCCACCTACTTCGAGTACCTGATGTTCGTCCTCATTCTGCTCAACACCATCTGCCTGGCCATGCAGGTCAGTTCCGCGGGCCAGCCCAGGTGCCTGGGTCAGGGCAGGGTCGGGGGCAGAACGAGGGTGGGAGGTGTTGCCATTTCACTGGCCGAGTGGGGCAGGAGGGGCACCTTCCCGAGGGGTCAGAATGCCAGGACCCTGGGCTGTGAGATAGAGGGCGGTGGAGCACAGATGACCTTGCAATGGCGTTGATCATCAATGATGCCAGCTGTGTGAAGCCCACCTGAGGCCAGGAGGCCACGCAGAGCTGACCCCGATGAGAGCAGGGCCCAGGCTGTGCCCGCCTGCGTTTGCAGCAACGACAGAGAGGGGAAGGACCCGCAGGGCTTCTTGAGCCCACCTGGCTCCCGCAGGTGTGGCCGGCCCCGGGGCTGGGTTCAGGAAGGTCTCTTTTGAGGGCGTGGCTGGGAGCAGGGAGCCCCCAACTCATTTCACAGCGCCTCCGCCCCCACCCCCCACCCCCAGCACTACGGTCAGAGCTGTCTGTTCAAAATCGCCATGAACATTCTCAACATGCTCTTCACTGGCCTTTTCACGGTGGAGATGGTCCTGAAGCTCATCGCCTTCAAGCCCAAGGTAGGCCCTCTGGGACGGACCTTTGGTCCACAGCGCCAGGGGCGGGCTTGGGTCAGTGGGGGGCAGTCTTGGCCAGGGACTGGATCCTCCTGCCGATGACCACTGCAGCCCAGGAGCCTTCAGGGCTCACGCCAGGCCAGCTCCTTGAAGCAAACTCTCAGTCCCTAGACTGACCTGAGGTCTGGACACGGGGAGCAAGGACGGGCCTGAGCCAGCCTGCTTCCGAGGGAGTCAGAGTCGCCCTTGCCCAGCACATCGTCTAGAAGAGACTGGAAACCAAACCTCACCAGGCCCAGCACCCCCAGACCCACCCAGGGTCTGTTCTCACGCGGGCACTGCACGCTGCACAGACTAAGAGCCTTGCTGCAGGGGCTCTGGCAGGGCCGCGTTTGCTCAGGGCTGGGCGTTAGTGCATCCGGGGGACCTCTGGTTCCCCACCTCAGGGCTGCAGTCACTGCCCATACCTTCCAGCACAGGACAGACCTACAAATGTCTGCGCAGCTACCTATGGGCAGCTTTTAGAAAAAACATTGGGAGAGATCAGAGCTGAGTGAGGCAGGACAGGGCGGGTTGGCCCCTGCTTCTTGGATCATCTGTGTCCTTTGCCACTGACTGGACCCCCCCGACACACACACACACACGGCCTCGAGGACGCAAGGTGACTGGGTTTGAGCAGCTCCCATCTCTCTCTCTGTAGACAGCTCAGCATCACCATGTCCACTGCCTGGGCTTCAAGCTGCCCTAGATGGGGTGTTCTGGGGGCTCAGGGGCTTCCAGCTACTACACAGCTTTGGAGAGAGGGGGCAGTGAGAAGGGATCTAAGAGGGTAATGCAGGACAGGTTTCCGAACTTTCTTGTCTCCACTTTTACTGGTTTTTCTAGATACAACACAGGTCAACCAGGGCAGTGCGGGGGCCGGGGTGCAGGGACTGCACATCCCTGGCCCTGTATTTCACTTCCATTCAGATGCTCACCTGCTGCAGAACTTGTGGGGCCAGGAGGCATGCCCCAGGGCTGTCGGTCGGATCCCTGTTTAGTGACAGGATCTTCGTTGTCTTCTCTGAATTAATGTTCCACCAACATTTGTCAGTAACCTGCAGTGCTGCACACACCTCGTTGCATGGAATCCTCAAGACACCTCTCTGAGATAGGTATTATCTCCTCATCTTAGAGAAGAGGGGAGTGGAACTCAGAGCAATTAAGTGTTGTGTTAATTACACCATTATTAAGTGGCAGGACTGGGAATAGAATCCAGCATGTCTGACTTTGTAGTCGATGTAATTCCCTCCACACCAAGCTGTTAGCAACCATGTGTTCTGCTGAGGACTTTGCAGAAGGAGGGAACCCCTTGAGGGGCTTCAAAGACAAGAAAGCCCGTGTTCTTACTGCACCAAGCCTCCCTTGCCAGAGGGAACTGAGAGTCCAGAGTATGGAACCCAGGCTGAATGCACAGAATGAGACCCTAATGAATGTCCTTTGGTGATAATCATGGTGCTTTCCCACCTCCTCCAGGGCAGCAAATAGGCTCTTTTCACTTTACCTTCCAAGCCCAGTCCCATTTAGGGGCAGAGGAGACCACGGAATGTCCCTGGCATCTTCTGTGGGACCCTGTCCCAAGCCACATGGCCAGGGGGCCGGCGGGCTCAGAGCCCACAGCAGCACACCCCAGGGAGGCTGGTGGGCCGGGCCATCGCTGGGCTGAGCCTCCAACTCAGATGACAGCTTCCAGGAGGGAACTGGCATGGTCTTCTCCAGTCTCATGAGATGTGTGGGTTAAATAGTTCAAAGGCCTGAGCCACTCTGCTTTGAGTCAAACGTGTTTCTGACGATGTCAGGTGCTGCTGCACAGTCCTGTGGGGTCTTCCTGAGTCGGGCTTCAGGGCTCAGGGGATGTACAAGACAGACCTGCCTTAAGGAGCGAGTGGCGGTGATATTGCATGGGCCTAAGCCCGGAGAACACTGTCCCTGAATCCTGCAGACCCAGGAACAAGCCAGTTACCTGGGAAGTAGCCAGTTGGGTGCTCAGAACCATAAAGTGCCCTCCTGTACATCTTCCTTTCTGTCGTGAGAAGATAGGGTAAAATCAGAGCAACGTTTCCAAAGAAATAAGACAACCACGTTGGGCATCTGCATTTCACACGCAGAAGGGTCTGTCTGTGCTTAAAGAGAAAGGGAAAAAGTCAAAGTGTTAGTCACTCAGTCATGTCCAACTGTTTGCAACTCCATGGCCTCCATCCATAGGATTTCCCAGGCAGGAATACTGGGGTGGGTTGCCATTTCCTTCTCCAGGGGATTTTCCTAACCCAGGGATCAAATCTGCGTCTCCTGCATTGGCAGGTGCTTTCTTTACCACTGCTCCACCTGGGAATCACTCATTAAGGAACAGATTCCGGAAGCATCGCCAACATTTCCAGGCAGAAAACCAAACCAGAAAGTGTCTGCAGCTCTGATGGAAATACTGAGCTGGCTCCACCCCACAACCCGGGCTCCTAAACGTGACCGCATGTCTGTGTTGCGTGTCTGTACCCGTGAGCGTCAGCTGAGGAAGGGCGGTCAGAAAACAGGGATGCGGGGGCGTCTGAGGCTGGCCTACTGGGCTTCCTTCCCCATCGCTTGGTCTCTGTGGTTGGTTGGTCAGTGGGTCGATTTGTAGTCTGGCCTTGTTCTTTCCGTGTCCTCGTGGCAACTGATGTTTCTGCTCTTCATTTTCATCTGTTCTGCTCACCACTTTGAGAAATTAAGTCAATTCAAGTAGATCTCTTCCCTGTCTGTCTGAAGAGTGGGACAGGTGACAGGTGTGTCCTGAACACCTAGTGGCCAGGGGATTTCTCCCCCAAGCAGGAGAACTGCCCTGGACATTCCCAGTGGTCCCTGGGCCCTTTGAGACTGTGCAGGACTGAACTGGTCAGCATGAAAAGGCTTTGGTTAGAAAGATCTGAAGTTCATTGAGCTTCATTGAAGTTCATTGAGTTCAAGTAGCTGGAGTGTCCTCTTATGAATGGAAATTTATCAGCAAAGACAGAAAAAAACTTTTAAGATACACTTGATGATAAGCACTGAAAAATATCCAATAGCTAGGAATGTGTGTGTGCCAACTCGCTTCAGTTGTGTCTGAGTCTTTGTGACCCTACGGACTGTAGCCCGCCAGGCTCCTTTGTCCGTGAAATTTTCCAAGCTTGAATACTAAAGTGGGTTGCCATACACTCCTCCAGGGGATCCTCCAAGCCCAGGGATCAAATCTGAGTCTCTTGCAACTCCTGCATTGGCAGGTGGATTCTTTACCACTAGCACCACCTGAAAAGCCCCAGATTCGGGCAGGTCCCCTCAAACCCTCATCCTGGGTGGTTCTGCAGTGGAGTCCTGCTGTGGAGCCAAGTGCCAACAGAGCAGGGGAAGACTCTCCCAAGACCCCAAAGGAGCCCAGCTGCTTCCCATCCCATCCCATACCATCAGGGGAGGCTGTGGGTGCTTGTACTCTGCCCACACCAAGCTCACCTCCAGGTGCCCGGAGCACTCATCACATGTCGGTGAGATGAGTGAGTGAAGGCCTTTGAAACTTTGCTGAGGAGGAAAAGCTTAACTCCAAAGAAAAACCAGAGCAGATGTTCAAAGTGTGCATTCCTCGAACAACTTGGAGGGTCACCACCACCCACCCTGGGTTTCACCTGCCTCCTGCTGCCCTCTGCCCCACCTCTATCCCATGCTGTCTGTGCTGGGAGGCGCCAGCCTCTTGAAGGGCAGGTCACAGGGTAGAGCTGGCAGGGAGGTGGGAAGCAGGAGGGGGAGCAGCTGTGTGCCAGCCAGACCACCCCACTCGACACCAGCAGCCCCCAATCACCGTGATGTCTGAGGACATCGTGATGCCGCGTACAGTTGACATTATCTCTGCAAGGCGGCGGTTCCCAGTGTGACACTCGGCTGCCAGCTGCACCCACCCCCCATCTCCCAGACCCACGACCTGGAGCCCAGGAAAGACCAGAGCTTCCAGGACCAGGGGCACCGCCTCCCAGGCTCAGTCTAGCTGAGCTCTGACTCAACTGGTCTCCCTTCCCTGGTCAAGCACACACCGTCTCCCCCTGCATTTTAGATCCTGCCTCCTTAGTCCTCACTAGGATTCAAGATGAGATCCCCTGAAGGAGCTTGGGGTTCTGTTGCTTTACCTTCCCTCTTCTCCTCCCACAGTCCTGGGCTCTGCCCTGGGCTCTGTGCATCAGGCCTCCCTGGGAGGGGCAGACTAGCTCCAGCAACCCTGACAGTCGCTGGATGCACTGGGCTTCCTGCAGGAGCAGGGCTCACCTGTGTCTCACCTCACCCCCACCATCACTGGAAGGTCGTCATAGGTGGGGAAACCTCGGCACAGAGAGGTGCGGTCATCTGCTCAGGGTCATCCAGCCAGGAAGTGGCAGAGAGAGGACTCGAACCCAGACATCCTGCCTCCAGGGTTCACACACTACACCGCCTCCTTCAGCTTGGAACAGCTCCAGGCATGAAGTGAATTGGGGCACAGATGATCCGAGAGAGAAGTCCAAATTCTCACGCAGGTGCAGTGCATCATGGGATGCTGGGGCGGCAGCCTCTCCTTCCCAGAAACGATGGGATGAAGCCAGGGCTGGTTTGGTCCATAAGCCAGCAAGCAGAGGGTTGGTGCACTCAGGAGAAGAGATAGCTTCTGGCAGATGCTGGCCTGTCAACCCCAGGGACACACCCAAGGCCTCCCAAGGCTGGGTGTCCACTCACCCTGCAGGCTTAGAGAAGGCTTCCAGCCCAAAGCTCTATCCCCCCGATGACCAGCCCTTCCTGGCTCTGAGGAGCTGGACCTTGAGAGGTTTGGTTCACCAGGTCAGGGAGAGCCCGGAAACCCTTTTCCGACCCTGACTTCCACCAAGAAGAGAACGGGTGTGTGACCTGGCTCCGGTCAGCCAGACTTCCTGAAAGTCTGTGGTATTTTCCCAGTCTGCTTCCTGCATCACCCCGCAAACCTGTGTCACCCGAGATTTCCAGCAAACAGGTCCTGTCCACCTGGGGATTGGCAGGTGTGTCCGGGCAACCACTGACCTCCTGGAGGGTGTCAGCTGTTTCTGGGGTGGGTGTGGAATGGGTGGGAGGAGGGGCTGACAGCTGAATCAAGCCGTGTCCATGGTCCAGCTTGGAAGATTGATAGAATGGGGGGTGGACGGGTCAGTAGGAGCTGGCATCTTAAAGGAACCCTGTCACCTCCACCCCACTCGGGCCATGTGTAAACCTCCTTTGGGCGGGAACTGGTGGGCTCTGCGGCCAGTGGAGGCCCTGGACCCGCAGGTCAGAGAGGTCCACCGAAGGCCTCAGCAGCACAGCCTGCAGAGGGCGAGGGCGTGAGCAGAGGGAGCCTCCGAGGGGGGCGGCCTGGTCACTCTGCAACCAGAGAGCAGGGGTGACAGGCGATGCTTTAGTGGGGGCGGGTCGCAGGGTCCCAGGGCCTGGCTCCTGCCCCGTGCTTGCCTGCTGTTAACCTCCTGTCCGCCGCTCCTGCCTGCCTTCCTCCCTTGTCTCTCCCCTCAGCCGCACCGCGGACCCAGGTGACCCACCTGTCTGTTCCAGGTCCCTCTGGTGAACCGGAGACTCCAGCCTTCCCTGCGAGCGAGACGCCCGCCACCCTCTTTCCTCCTCCCTTTGCCCCCAATAATGCTCTGTTGCTGGGTTTTCTAGGCTGGATGCAGGGCGTCCTGGACTCTTCTCTGGTTCCTGCTTCCATCCTCTCTCTGCCTGAACCCCTACCCCTTCCCTCCTGAAACCGTTTTCCCCCCTGGAGATAGCTCCCCAGTGATTTCCAAAACTGATGTTGAACAGATGCACATTTGTCGTTCGTTTGGGGTCCTCATTCTGTCCCCTGCCCTCAAAACCAGTGCTCCCCATGTGTCTGAAATGCCCTGTGAGCACCCAGGAAGGGTTCTTTCATGCTCACAGCTCAAATGGGAGAGCAAGTCTCTCTCTGCCCCAGGGGCCCTGTGATATTCAGAGAAACACTCGAGGAAGCTGACAAGATGGCCAGGGTTCCAAGTGACCCTCACTTCCCCCATGCCCTAAGCCAACCTCTACTCCCTGCCGGTTGTCCAGAGGTGGCATTTCTGCTTACATGGTCAGAAATGCTTGGGAACTGAGAAGGCCCTGTGACCTGACCTCCACACTGACAGTAACGGCCTGGACAGCATGTCTTGTGATCCAGCTGAAAGGGGGCACGGTTGGGAAGTGAGGGGTCGGGGAGCAGGATAGAGCCGGGAGAAATGGGAGAACAGAAGACGCCTGGCTCCTAAGAGTCAGGAACACAAAGGGAGAGTTGGCCACCCCCAGGAGGACTGGGGAGAGGGGCCTGGGAGACGCTTAGAGGTGGGGGCTTCCCTGGAAGGACCAAAGGGGCAGATGTCCTCTCTTAAAGTAGACATGTTCCCCTGGTGCTGAACCTCCCCACTCCACCCCCCGGGGAGAGCGGCCGCCCAGCTCCCCGGCTCCTGAACCACGTGTGTGCATCCGTGTGTCCCGGAGCATCACTACCTGACCCCTCCACTCCGAGAGGACCCGTCCTGTCTTTGCAGAGAGTCTGCCCACCCAGGACTTCTCACGGAAATGGAGATAGTCAGTCATCCACATGCTTCCAGAAATGTTTCAAAAACACGCATCTGTTCCCTTCCCCAAATACAGTGTAAAAGAGGCAAAATCCACATGTGCAGGACAAGGGGGTGGGTTCAGCACCCTGCTCCCTGCCAGGCACCAGGCATTATGGCCCGTGTGCTCCTCCCAAGAGGCCTCTGTCCCAGGCCCCCACCCTGCCTGCAGGAAAGGCTCTGAGAGCCCTGTTCTCTCAGGGCGTCTCAGCAGGATGCTGGTCACAGTGATGATGCTGGGGAAGGGGCTTCAGAGACGCAGTCCAGGCCCCCCACACACACACTTCCAGACTTTGGGCTTGACCCAGTGTCCGTCTCCTTGAAGTGAGGAAAGCCTCTGGACAGAGGCAAATCCAGGGCTAATGCCGGTCCGGGGCTGGCAGGAGGGTGACCTGGTTGTAGATGCTGCTCTGATGACGTGGTCCCCTCGTCACCTCGAGCTTCGCCTGAGTCATCACGGAGCCCAAGGGCCTGGCCACCCACCTGGACCACACCGATGCTGCTTGTGATTCCCAGATCACGCCTCAAGAGCCCTGCCCCGTGTCACTTCCGTCCCTGCAGGCAGCCCTCGGACAAGTCGGAGGCCTGGGGAGTGCTGGGGACGCAGGAAGGGTGGCCAGGGGCCGGGTCTGAGGAGGGGCACCCGGGAAGGCAGGTGTGGGGTGGGCCGGCCGCCCCTCCTGGGCCCGGACTCCAGCAGCGCCGGCGGCCCCGCGGGCTCTGTGCCTGTCTGTCTAACCTTCCTTTTCACTCCCGTCCTGCCGCCCCGTGTAGGGCTACTTTAGTGACCCCTGGAATGTCTTTGACTTCCTGATCGTAATTGGCAGCGTAATTGACGTCATTCTCAGTGAGACGAATGTGAGTATGACTCTGCCCAGGACGCCTCCGTGCCCCCCTCTCTCTTCACCTCCTTCGGTTTATTTTTTGGTTTCCTGTTTTACCCGCTCCAGTCATGCTTTCTCTCGCACCTGCCGCCGTCCTGGGGGACGTGAGCCCCCCACTGTCCCCACTCCGCCGGGCCGGGCAAAGGCTCCCGCTCCTCCCGGATGCCCGCCCGGCCCCCGACTAACCCACTTTTGTCAGGCTCCGTGAGCAACAGGTGCAGGCATGCACCTCCAGAACTGTGGAGTGGTAAGGGGTCCAGTATGCCCACATAACCTCTTTCTTTTCTCATTTTTTTCTCTTCTCTCCTTTCTTTCATGCTTTGTTTTGTTTTGTTTTCATTTTCCTCTTCCTTTTGTTTTGTTTCCTTTGTCGCTGGTTTTTCTCTCCCTCCCTCCCTCGGCTCCTCTGCCCATGCAGCACTATTTCTGTGATGCATGGAACACATTTGACGCCTTGATTGTTGTGGGTAGCATTGTTGATATAGCCATCACCGAGGTAAACGTAAGTACCGGCGTCCCACCCTGTGACGCCGTGCCTGCCTCACGCTCACCCCCATCGCTCTCCTTTGCCTCCTCTCCTCCTCCCAGCTCATTTCCACTTCCTTATTCTCATTTGTTTGTTTAAATTGGTTTAAAGGATTTTTTTTCTTGTTGCTTTATTTCGAAGTTTCTTTAGTCTCTTTTTAACATTTGGAACGAGTTAAGCCCTCCTCTCCTTCTGAGTTTTGACTCCTGCATCCTTTCCTCTCCTCTTTATAATCAGCCTGGCATGATGCACACTGTCTAGGAGGACGCAGCCCCGAGAGCCCGGAGTAAGATGATGGAAGGCTGTTTACAACCCCTGGGCAGCTGCCAGGGCAGGGATCCAGCCCCTTCCTGCTCCAGCATCCAGGAAAGGTCTCTCCCAAGGAACCCCGGGCGGGCAGAGGCTCCCACTTGGCCAGCCCTCTCAGCCCACCCCGCCCCGTATTCACGCTGGAAGGGCCCCTCGCTGGGAGAGCAGCTCGTATCCCTCTTCTCTGGAGAGGGCTCTTACCCACCACCAACCCCCTTCTGCTTACTGTGGAGCACCTGGCCCCACATGAACCTGCCCTGAGGACCAGCCTTGCCCCTGCCTGGCTCCAGGGCCTCCTGCACCTGCTCCTGGGAGCTGCCCCTCCTAGACAGTCTTCAGCCCCTGCACACGCTCGTCTGTCCCCAGCATGCCCAACCTTCTCTCTCTATCTGTAGGCAAGCCCTCTTGCGGCTGGTCTTTAACATGTGTGGTTTAGTTCCTTGTCATGGTTTTTCATTGGTTAAGAGACTTGATAATGTTTGCACAAATGTTGATGCACTGAACCATTGAGTGACAGCTCAGAGCAGATGCTGAAGGGTTCTGATCTAAGGTGTCAGAAACCCCCCACAACCGTCAGCCCCTCTACCCCAGTCCTTACCCGCCCCTCCACCCCAAAGCTGGCTGCCAGTCGTTGAACTGACATTACTTCTTGTCCTGATTCTGCATCAGAAGCCTGTCTGCCCCTTCCAGGGGATGGATGCTGGGAGGAGGCCGTTACGTCCTACTGTCAACCTCACCCCTTCCTGCTTGACCCATTGCTCAGATTTGGTTGCCCCTCTGTCTCAGGGATCTCCTGGGGTCGTCTTTGTCTTGTGATGTGTGTGTGTGTGTGTGTGTGTGTGTGTGTATGTGTGTGTGTAAACTCCCATGCACATGCACTCCCTTGACCTTATCCAGTAAATCATTGGAGCACAAGGAAACTGAGCTCCCCCCAACCGAGGCCGCTTCTCCCTCGCACCACTCCCCGCACCTCCGTGTGGCCCCAGGTTGTATCCCAGTGGCTCTCGGATTCCTGCACATTCATATCCCTGACCAGGGCCCTGTGCTCAGACCAAGGGGCCCTCTTGGGGGAGATGAGGGAAGGTCAGAGTGGGCCTGCCTCTGGAGGAGGGGTCTCTGTGGGGGTCTGTGCAGGAACCAAGGGCAGGAAGGTAACAGCAGACAGACCCCTGGGTGCACAAGACACACCCAGTCCCAGGGTCTTCTGGGGTTAGGCAAGAAGGCCACTGTGGTCAGGCCCACGTCATCACTCAGCCTGCTGTTTTTTTTCTGTGCATGTGCATTTACACACACAGAAATGAAAGGCAAAAGAGAACAGGAAAGATATATCCATCTGAGTGCAGAATTCCAAAAACTAGCAAGGAGAGAAAAAAAGCCTTCCTAAGTGATCAGTGCAAAGAACTAGAGGAAAACAGTAGAATGGGAAAGACTAGAGATCTGTTCAAGAAAATTAGAGATACCAAGGGAGAATTTCATGCAAAGATGGGCACAATAAAGGACAGAAACGGTATGGACCTAACAGAAGCTGAAGATATTAAGAAGAGGTGATAAGAATACACAGAAGAACTATGCAACAAAGATCTTCATGACCCAGATAACCATGATGGTTCGATCACACCTAGAGCCAGACATCCTGGAGTGCCAATTCAGTGGTCCTTAGGAAGCATCACTACAAACAAAGCTAGTGGAGGTGATGGAATTCCAGCTGAGCTATTTCAAATCCTAAAATATGATGCTGTGAAAGTCCTGCACTCGATACGCCAGCAAACTTGGAAAACTCAGCAGTGGCCACAAGACTGGAAAAGGTGAGTTTTCATTCCAGTCCCAAAGAAAGGCAATGCCAGAGAATGGTCAAACTACCACACAATTGCACTCATCTCACATGCTAGCAAAGTAATGCTCAAAATTCTCCAAGTGAGGCTTCAACAGCACATGAACTGAGAATTTCCAAATGTTCAAGCTGGATTTAGAAAAGGCAGGGAAACCAGAGATCAAATTGCCGACATCTGTTGGATCATAGAAAAAGCAGGAGAATTCCAGAAAAACATTTACTTCTGCTTCACTGACTACACCAAAGCCTTTGACTGTGTGGATCACAACAAACTGTGGAACATTCTTAAAGAGATGGGCACACCAGACCACCTGACCTGCCTCCTGAGAAATCTGTATGCAGGTCAAGAAGCAGCAGTTAGAACTGAATGTGCAACAGTGGACTGGTTCCAAATTGGGAAAGGAGTGTGTCAAGGCTGCATATTGTCATCTTGCTTATTTAACTTATATCAGAGTACATCATGTGAAATGCCAGGCTGGATGAAGGACAAGCTGGAATCAAGATTGCCAGGAGAAATATCAATAACCTCAGATGTACAGATGACACCACCTTTATGGCAGAAAGCAAAGAAGAACTAAAAAGCCTCTTGATCAAAGTGAAAGAGGAGAGTGAAAAAACTGGCTTAACATTCAACATTCAAAAAACTTAAGATCATGGCATCTGGTCCCATCACTTCACGTCAAATAGATGGGGAAACAATGGAAGCAGTGAGAGACTTTATTTTCTCCAAAATCACTGCAGATGGTGACTGCAGCCATGAAATTAAAAGACGCTTGCTCCTTGGAAGAAAAGCCATGACAGACCTAGACAGCATATTAAAAAGCAGAGACTACTTTACTGACAAAGGTCTGTCTAGTCAAAGCTATGGTTTTTCTGGTAGTCATGTATGGATGTGAAAGTTGGACCATAAAAAAAGCTGAGCGTGGAAGAATTGATGCTTTTGAACTGTGGTGCTGAAGAAGAATCTTGAGAGTCCTTGGACAGGAAGGAGATCAAACCAGTCAATCCTAAAGGAAATCAGTCCTGAATATTCATTGGAAGGACTGATGCTAAAACTGAAGCTCCAATACTTTGGCCACCTAATGTGAGGTACTGACTCATTGGAAAAGACTCTGGTGCTGGGAAAGATTGAACACAGGAGGAAAAGAGGACAACAGTGGATGAGATGGTTGGATGGCATCACCAACTCAATGGACATGAGTTTGAGCAAACCCAGGGAAATAGTGAAGGATAGAGAAGCCTGATGTGCTGCAGTCCATGGGGTCACAGAGTCAGACACTACTGAGTGACTGAACTGACTGCTGTTTTTAAACAAAAAGCAAAGACAAAGGAAAAATTGCCAGAATATAAAATTTCTACCCCAAAAATTGGTGGTTGGGGTGGTGCAGGACCCCAGGACAGGCGATTGGCATCACATGCAGAACCTCCATCTGTACAACGGTTTCCATTTACAGTTTGCCATGGCCTCCAGCTCTGGAGTCCATCCCCCATGAGCCTAACAGTCAAGGGTGATCATCCCCACTGGCCAGGGCACAGGTTACGGCAGGGCACAGGCGAGGGTATGGCATAGCTGAGGGCAGGGCACAGGTGAAGACGGGGCATAGGTAAAGGTATGACACAGGTGAGGGCGCCAGGTGAGGCTGGGGCACAGGTGAGGTTGAGCACAGGTGAGGCTGGGGCACAGGTGAGGAGCACAGGTGAAGGTACAGCCCGTCAGTGCCTCTCCCACCCCTCGACTGGAGCCCAGCCCTCCCAGGGTGGCTGGCTCCCCACACCTGGGGCTGGCCCTGCTGTCTGTCCAGTGTGCAGTGCCCTTTGTTAACATGTGAACCTCACATCCCCTTCTCGTGCGTGGCCTCCTGCTGGCCAGGATTGGCTCAGCCCATATGTTCCATGGTTTATATCCTAAAGAACCATAGGAGGTTTTTTATTTTCCAAACAAGAAGTTACAGGCCAGTGCCCCTTCTGGCTGGAAGCCCTCAGCTCCTCCCAGGCTCCCTTCGCCCACGTGGAGGTGCTTCTCACTCCATAGATGGAGGAGTCTGTCAGAAGTCATGGGGAGGGTGGTCCAGAGATAGAACGGGGACAGCGCCTGTGATGGAGAGAAAAGCGGGGGTAGAGACCCTCCACGCAGCCCCCACTGTTTCCCTTCCCTCCCACACATGCAGTTAGGAGACGCACCTTGTCACCCCAGGCAGGGGCCAGAGGAGAGGGCTGGACACAGGTCAGACCAAGTGCTGGAGTCCTAACGCTGCTCCTCCACGGTTTGGGGAGTGTGGTATTACTGCCAGGGTTTGAAGCTCAGCTAAGAGCATTCATGTAGAGCCCGGCATACACTGGAGAGCACTGCTGAAGGGGAGAAATCATGGCACCAAGCCAAGGACATCCTTTCCAAGCTTCCTGCCAACACACCTGCCAATCACAGACTCACAGCCCTTGTTCCCAGAGACGCTGGACTCTTGGTTAATGGGTGTGGCCGGATCAAGGCAAGATCACTGACCACTGCCTGTAACTCAAGGCAGACGAGCGTGGCCCATAAGCAGGGACATGACCCTGCACCCAGATGGCAGCCAGGATCATGGGGTCCTGTTATAGGAGCAGTGGCACTCCATTCCCAAGCAGGGCCCTCTACTGCAGATTCTGCCTCCTGCTGCCAGCAGCTTGGGGCCTGGCGCTCCCTGGGGGAGGAAAGAGCTCGGCGCCAGGACTTTCCTGGGTACTGCTCCAGCTCCACCCACCCCCCCTTGAGTTTTCTAGTCCTACTTTCTTCACCAGACCTCCCTTCTCGGATGAACGTTCCATTCCAGCCTTAGGATTTCTGGAGGCTCTTCACCTG